CAAGAGGTATATCTAGCTAGATGGCAGCTATAGTACAAGGCCTAATACATATCCACAGTATGCAATCGCTACCATTCGGTCGTTCAATGCTCGTCAAATCCATAACCTAATCTACTTCAGGGCCTTGATGACGGCGTCGGCGTACTCGAAGGTCTTGGCCTTGCCACCAAGGTCACCGGTGATGGTCTATAATATCGTTAGCATGTATTCATATACAAAGAAAGTGTCCGTGACTTACCTTGCCCTCAGCAAGAACCTTGAAGATGGCCTGCTCAATGTTGGCGGCCTCCTGGGTGAGACCCATGTGTCGCAGCATCATGATGGAGCTGAGAAGAAGCGCGGTGGGGTTAGCGAGCTGCTTGCCAGCAATGTCGGGCGCGGAACCGTGGACAGCCTCGAAGATGGAGCAGTTGTCACCGATGTTGCCGGAGGGAGTAAGACCGAGACCACCGATGAGACCAGCGCACATGTCGGAGAGAATGTCTCCGTACAAGTTGGGCATGACGAGGACCTTGTCGTTGTAGGGAACAGGGTCGGTGACCATCTTCAAGCAGGTGTTGTCCAGCAACTCGGCGTCGAACTCAATGTCGGGGAACTCCTTGGAGATTTCGCGGGCGGTGCTGAGGAAGAGACCGTCGGACATCTTCATGATGGTGGCCTTGTGCACAGCGCGGACCTTCTTCCTGCCAATGTCGCGGGCGTGCTGGAAGGCGTATCGCAGGACGCGCTCAGAGGCCTCGCGGGTGATGAGCTTGATGCTCTGGACAACGCCATCTACGACAATGTGCTCGATGCCAGAGTATTCTCCCTCGGTGTTCTCACGGATCAGGACAGTGTCTACGTCGTCGTAGGGGGTCTTGTAGCCGGCGATGGATCTGCAGGGGCGGACGTTGGCGAAGAGGTTGAAGGTACGGCGGAGAGTAAGGTTGAGCGAGACGTGGCCCTTGCCGATGGGGGTTGCGAGGGGGCCCTTGAGAGCGACCAAGTTCTTCTTGACGCTGGCGATGGACTCGTCGGGGATGACCGTCTTGCCGTCCTCGTTCAGGCGCGGGGTCACGTCGACCGACTCCCACTTGATTGGCACGTTGGCGGCCGAGTAGATGTCCTTGACCGACTGCGCAATCTCGGGGCCGATACCATCACCCTCGATTAGAGTGACGGAGTACTTGCCGTCGCTGCCCTTCTGTCCGTGGAACTTGGCGACCTCGGAGGCGTATGTGCGGGCGGACATCTATGTGTGTTAGTAGAGTTCCAGGCTATTTTTCTCTTCCTATACACCCATTGTCTTGAGGCGCAAGAATCGGGTGTCCCGCGGGAAGCTCACCTGGGACAGCGCGGGCGCCCATCGTGCGCGGTTAACCTGGCGCATGCATTGCCGCGCGGGGGCGGCGAAGGAGCGAGCAGCCAACATGTTGAGGGTATGGAGATGTTGTCACGACCCAATTGGAGCTACACTGTGGTGGTAGCAGGTCGTCGAGGTGGGTGGTCGCGGCGGGAGGGTTGCGCAAAGCTCGGATACAGAAAAAGAAAGCTCCACCGGCCGCGGGATGTCTTCGTGCGCCAAACCGGTCCATTCCGCCTCCGTCATGGCATCCCACCCGCAATAGCCCTGCATTCTCATGCACCCTCGGTTAACGCTAAATTATGGACTGGCGATACTCTGGAAGCCTCACGACTGACATTCACTTGGGAAAAGGCGACGTTATACTGCACCTTCACAACGACGTCACTCGGAGCAACGGAATGTCTCAACCGAGTGCTTGTCACATGTCACGGTACAGCAAAACAGTCGCATCCATGAATTACACCATGCACTACAATATCCTACACTTCACCTCAACAGCATGATCGAATGATCGAATTGTTCCGCTTTATTTCCCATCTCTCTATTCATCTTATCTACCCCTCCTAAAAACACGTTCCGGCTCCCGAACCCTCTCATGCATCTCATATTCACTTGCTAAGCTTTTCTGCTCCTCTTTCTCCTCGCGCTTTCTACGAGCCAAACGAGCGACCCCAGATGATAACGCACACAGCCAAAGCATCATTATGACCATAATCGCCGCGGAAATGGCACCGAAGATGAAGAAGCCGAGCCAGATACGGTATTCGGCGCTTGAAGTGTTTGGTGGGTGTAGAGGCCTGGGATAGACGGAGGTCATGTTGTTTTGTAGTGGCGAAGCATTGGTGGTATTAGTAGCCGCGAGGGCGAGGCCGCTGGAGTAAGGAACGGTGTACGGAGACGCCATGTCTGAAGTCGATTTGCGCGTAGGTATGAGAAGGTTGCTACTATGTCCGTGTGCTTTCTTAGCAGTGTGCTGATACTTGGAGTAGGAGAGGAACAGACTCTAGACTCTACTTCGTCGGGCATTGTGCGCCAGGTTTGCTGAATCTTCACGATCTCATGGATCCGACAGCCTACAATGTGTTGAATAATACCTTTTAGAATGTCGCCGTTGACGTGACTAGCGCTCAGCGTCATCGAACCCGACACTGTGAGCTCACAGGCCTAATGTCCAGTGATAGTCACCATATGGTGCGGGATCTGTACGGACACCGCGATTGAGCTACTGTATACAATTGATCTTCCGCAATCTTCCTAGGTCCTCGTTTATCCCAACTACGACCAGACGTAACAAGACGAAATCACCAACATTACTTGTTCAACATCCAACATGTCGCAAAACAATACTATGGCGGCTTTTACTTGGCCTAATGCCGCGCAAGAAACTTCTTCCTCAGGTACGATGACTTCGTCTTCTGTTACCACTTCGACTGCAGTCGATTCTGGTGTATTCTACTCATCGGATGTCGCTGCATCGACGTCTACTGCTTCAGACGGGGGAGCGTTCTTTTCTTCGGACGTCTCTACGACTGCTGTTGCCTCCGCCACAAGCACTTCAACAGCAGTAGATCCTGGTACCTTTTACTCGTCGGCTGTCCCTACGTCTACTTCCACTGCATCCGATGGAGGCACATTCTTCTCTTCAGACATTCCCGTTTCTAGCATCGGCTGCCACCATTGCACAGCTTGTACGAAGACGACCTCAACCGCCAGTGCTCACGCAAGTGCGTCTCCCTTCCTAAAGGCAGTCTCGAACAATCCTTGGAATCCAAATGTAGCACCGCCGATTGATGCGTTACCATCGTACGTCGATTATGGTACGGTGTCCACCCTGATGCCTAAAGCCACCGGAGTCGCTTTCGATCGCGGCACACCTTTCGAAATGACTGATCCCATAATGCCAATAGCAGATCAGTCGTCTGATCTTCATTCAACCTTCGCCAAGCGAGACAGTCCCCGCTTCGCGAAAAACCCAGGCCACATCATCGGCGTCATCATACTGATCCTTGGTGTCGTCCTCGTATGCTTCCTAGCGATCAAGTACTGTAGGGGTCTAATTCCCACGACCCATGACCCGGAAAAGGGTGATAGCCGCCGTCGCTACCCACATTATGAAAAAGAGGTCGTCCGTGGACGACGACGCCGCCGTGACGGCTCACCTTCCACCACCCATTATGCTGACATACCAATTTCGGAGGGATATGGCATGGATCCGGTTGACCTTGCTCGCGCACAGAACTGGCAAGACGGCTTCGACGAAAAAGGTGCGTATGCGACGCGAGACCACGTAGATCGAAGGACATCCGCTGATAACTTCCAGTCAGTCGCAACGCATGGAACTGGTGATAATGTTGGATATCGACTACAATTACCCAGCTTTATACCCACGCGCAGCTCGAATCCAAAATCCCGTCCTGTGACCGATCTGCCGGCGCTCGCCCGTAATCCGGAGTACCCAGCCGGTCAGCCAGTTTCGCCGTTGAGTGCAAACGGCCCACCCCACGATTATAACCGCACGCGAGATTACAGCGACGTATCACCGCTACATTCGCCCACAATGCATCGCGAGCACCACAGGTAGATGTTTTGGTCGACAGCGAAGATGTGGTGTGGTTGCTGAAGATCAAACAGGTACAGCTGTCAGACGCGTTTCCAGCTAGTGGAGTTTAGAGTTTCGCATAGGTATCCTGCAATTTTGCTTTTTTAATACCGAGACTCGTTACTTGATACAGTGAGATTGGTTCTGCGCCGGCAATATCGTTGGTTTTCGGGGTTATTTTGGGGTGGGTTTCACTTCTTTCATTTGCTGGGGGCTGTGCTGGTGTGGTTTAACTATCGTGAAGGTCCCGTCCCCACTTGCCATTCTTACCTGCGCATTCGTTCTTTACCTACACACTCATTCAACAACCACACACTCACTCGTTCGATCGCAACTCTCCAATACAAATAACATATCTACAGTCTTTTCTCTATTCATCGCACAACATGCCTGCACTAAAGTTCTCACACCGCGCTGAGCCCATCAACGCCGAACAACGCATGATCGGTCCCATTCCTTTACCATGGTTCATTCCCATGTGTGTCTTTGCGCCTTTCTTCCTCTCGTTCATATGCTGGGTATTCTATCAACAAACCGTGACGCGGTACAAGAACAAGAAGCTATTGGCAGCGCAACAAGAGCAACAGCGCTTAGCTGCTAAAGAGGTGGAGACGCAGATGCAGCAGTTCATTGGGTCGAGCGTGAACAACGCGAATATTCGCGCACCACCAAGAGCGATGAGGCATCCTGCATACAGATGATTGTGATCTGGAAGGATTCAACACGGGCGTCATGGAGATGGTCGCAGCATGACAGGCATGATCATGTGCCGTCCATCCGTTTCAGCTCGGGGATACCAGCAGTAAGTAGTCCACAGTATTAACACAATTCGCAACATTGTCAACTTACGACATTCTACCAGAACACTCTAAACAGCTATTGTGAAAGCATCATGTCTCACGATCATTCACACCACATCGCCACTCGTTCTACAAAAGACCTTCCATACCTCGTCACAAGCTTACATCACCAAGCTCCATCTACATCGCATTTCACGATAGTCTTGAAGCCGGACTTCCAACTCACATCCCGAATTCAACAAACCAACACAACACCATGGCCCCATTAGCCCCTTCCATCATCAACGCCCTTTACTCGGAGCCCACCTCCACCTACTCCATCCCCGCCATGCCGCTTGTCACTCAGCTCTCCGCGCTGGCGACCATCGTCACCCCGACGACTCCCTACACACCCATGGCCTCTCCGTCTAGTATCTCAGACATCCTCCACGAGATCTCCAAAGCAGATGTCGCTGCTGAGCCTACTTCCACTCTGGACCTCAAAGTGAAGTCCAGCAGCTCTGGCGCTGAAGGCGGTTTGTCGACTATAGCTGTAGTCGGCATTATCGGTGGTATTCTTGTGGGTATGCTTATCCTAGGATTCATTGTTGTGAAAATGTGCCACCACTAAGTGCGGATGATGGTGGGTTAGTTGTGTCACATATGGAAGAATAGGGATGAGAAGGTAGATCTGAGGATGTTTCTTGGTTGTTAAATGATGGGATAGATCTATCCAGTTAGATGTTGGGTAGATGAGAAGACGATTTCATGCCTTTATCATTCTGTGCGCTCGTGCTATGTTTGCGTCAAGTGTAGTGTCTCTCCTGGCGAGCACGCAAAATCAGCGTACCTCACGCTCGCTGCCCGCGTACCCCACTGGCTATCTTCTACGCCGCTGTCTCCTAGGCGTTTCTTCAGCTGCGCTCCAACCCTCCATTTCGATATCCAGATCGTCCAGCTCGGCCGCCAGGTCTTGTCGCGGCTTCTTCGCCTTTCTGGCTGGTTGATCGCCGGGAGCGTCAGAGTCAGATAGGAAGCTGTCTCTTCGTCGCTTTGTGTTGCGACTAACGGAACGAACGGATCGCTCTTTCTGGTGATGTTTCTGGCTAGATGATGGAGACGACGTTGAAGATGCTAAGTAAGGTGAGTATATGAGCCTGAATGGGAAGCATGGTAACTCACTGCTATCCTCGTCATCCGAGTCCACGATGAAGCGTCGCTTTCGTTGCGAGATTGGTGACTTGGAACTACTCGTAGATATTGGGGTCTTGCGCTCGAACGTGTTGCCACTTGGGAGACCACCTTCTTTTGCCAGTGCGTTCCTAAATGCATTCGTCAGATACTGTGTCCAGTCGTTCCTACGCGTTCTGCTTACTGCACAGCATACTCCACCATCTCGTATTCTACCTCCGGGCTGGTCTCCCCGTCACTCAGATCTACGATCGCTGGTATACGAATCCCTCCTGCTTTGCGATTGATAAGATCGAGTTGCGCCGCTGCAACCCGGAAAGCGGCATTGGATGGGCGGCACCGTTGCTTTGGAAGACGTTTTGGTTTGGTGAACGAGAATTGGGGGCAGTCGACTGCCATGACGGGAAGTTGAAGTGAGAAGGATGATAGGGTAGAGGACGGAGATGTGATGGATGGTAAGGATGGTGTACTGTCAATTTCACCTGGAAAACCGAGGTGACTGAGAGCACGCTGCCACAGGTAAGAGAGCATGGCGTTTATCTATGTTGTTTGCGCTAAAGATGCTTTTGCTGTTTGTTGTCTTGCCTGTGAGACTCCAATGTCTCAGCGCTCGTTTGAAAGGTGACAGCAGGATCGAGCAGGCATTGAATGGAGCAATCGCAGAACAAGGCGCTCATGCCACAAAGTACAATTAAATATCACGTAGCTAGCAGATGGCTGCAGCTCTGTACACTTTGTACGACGCTGCGCGGAATCGTGTATGCATTGACAGAATATTGCAGCAACCCGAAATCGACCTGTCATTTCTTCCACATACACCAAACGCCGGGTATCAATACCGCTCAATCTACCTGTCGCTAAGTACAATCGAACCACTCTTTACATCCTTCAAACTCTAGCCCTTTTCCTCATCAGTCTGGCGGTGTATGCAAAGCGCGGCTGCATGTCTATATCCAGATCTAATGGGTCCTCGCTGTCAAACATCTCAACGTCTCTGTCTGCACGTCTACTGCGTACCTCAACACCGAGAAACTCATCAGAGCCATTAGAGATATCAGAATTGAGATCGTAATGAACAGTATTATCGGGGACGACGAACTCGCGGTCGCTGCTGGTCTCTCTGGCGTGCGTAGGGTTCATTGAAGACGACTTCGTTCGTTTGGCGCTCGTATTTGAGCAGTGTTTTGCACTTGAATTTGCGCTCTTGGAAGGCTTTGCATGATGGTGTAGACTCTTTGACTTTGTAGCTTTGCTTTTCGGCTTGGAATGTGGTCTCGATGCGATTGTAGCGGCTGACTCAGGCTGAGGTTCATCGTCGTCCCACTCAAAAGCGGGATCGTTGGGGTCTATCTTGACCATGACCTCTTCGCCGTCTGCATCCAAGCCTGGTTGATGCCGTGCCGGTGGTGCTTCACTCATCCTGATGGCTTGTTTCTTCGCCAACGGTAGATCGCCTTCGCTGTCCATGATGAGGTGATAGAGATCCACAATGGGTAGCGCGGGTGCTACAGCCATTAGCTGAGCGACCTTACTTCTCAGACCGAAGTCGTCGATATCCATAAGACTCATGTTGATAGTCCCAGGCTTGCTCTCTTTCCGGCTTTCATTGAGTGCGTGAGGTTGGCGTGTGCGTCGCGTGGCAGGCTTACGGATCGGTGCTGCTTCTCCACCGCCATCAGAATCTCGTTGTAGTGTTTCTTGGGGTACAGCATGCGATCCATCCTTTGCGGGCCCGCTAGATGTTGGCGAGGAGCGTCGTAGGACGAAGCCTATGGGTGCATGCAACGTATTCGGTAATGCGCGCGGGCTCTCACTCGTGCCATCGTAGCGGAAACCTCGTAGGTTGGGCTCGGCGAGTGAGACATGCGTTCGACGAGGGTCAAAACTACCGATGTTAGCGTAGAACAGGCGTATTGTGAGCGCGATTTGTCTTGACTTACCGCTGGGGAGTGCTTGTCGGCGCGTCATCATCGCTATCGAGCGTGATTGGCAAGTCCTGGGATGCGCCCACTCGGAATCCGGGACTAAACTTGGAGCCAGCTTTGGGGAGCTTGCGCACCGAAATTTGAGGTTTTCGCCTCGCTCGACCGCGTCTCTCTTTGCCTGTTGCTGGACCCATATTGATTTTCTTGATGTTGCGCTGGAACCCCATATTATCCTCCTTCTGACGAGGGTAATTAGGCTTACTTTGTCGAATGGTTTGACGGGGGTTGGGCGTACGGCCGAGAGAGGGCAGAGACTGGTGCGGATCAAACGGATTGAGCCTCGAAATCTCCAGCAGCGTTGCAGTGCGGTATTGCGGCAGTCCACATCGCACTGGCGTATCTTTCCTCCCTCTCAAGATATCCTGATACTGGCTGCTAAGACCATAAGGCAACAATATAGGAAAACAGGTATCCATGGCAAAAAGTGATTCGAAATGGCAAGAGTGAGTCGGGTATATTGGAGGTGAAGGAGAGGTCTAGCGAACGGTCCGGGACCGGAGGCAGATTGGTCAAGCAGGCGGTATCCTTGCGCAAAGAAGTGAAAGAGGAGAGACGATTGCCATCGTGTGCCGGGCGCTGAGAGGAAGCTTGTTGGTGGGGTAGGCCTACGACGAGGAAGGCACAACCTGATCAGCCATGCGGACGACAGCTTTCAACCGCTGATGTGTGGCCGTCGCGGTAAGAGATCCAGCAGTAGTCTCTACCCTATAGCTTGCATCGAAAATCTTGCAATTATGGCATCTCCAATGACATCCGCAATGTGCACACCCAAGGTCATTGTCAACGCTGTTGTCGCCGTGGCACTCACAACACTGCCATCGCCAACACGGACGAGCGTCTGCCATCGTCAAGCTTGATCGAGGTGCGGGTTCAAATAATGAAGGAAGATGAGACACAAGACACGATAGTAAACAATACCTCACATGTTATCGAGCTGAAGATCCGGTGAGGAGCCCCGCCATGCCACCTGCCACCCATTGGACGCAGCGCAACTTTGCGCGCTCATGCTTCTCAGTATGATACCAGTCACGAAATTAAGCTTAATGGCAGAGAGCAAGGCAATACAGAAGAATGCAACAAGAACAGAACCCCAGCATGGAAGTGCGTGGTACGACCGTGAGACGCTAAATGACGATGCAGCGCATATCCAAGAGAAACCCCGCCCATCGGATGGAGACTTAACTCATGGGTAGGATGGGCTTAGCTGGATTGACTGTAACACTGCAGACAGTCTTTCGGGGCATGACCCCATATGTAGTATCAAGGTAAGCATATCGAGAGAGCTGAAGTGTCTGGCACTGATGATCGGTCGCGCCCAGGAGTGGTGGGCATGATGTGGGTGGGACGGGCGCTGAGTCAGCCCGGGAGCAAGCGCCGGCCTCGGCTCACACGAGGAAGCTACCGTACCGCGCGCCCCCAGGGCCGCGCCCGCTGATGTTCATAGCACTCCATCATCGCATCTCTTTGCGCATCAACCTTAACTCCATCACGCGTTTGATTTGTGCTATGTCATAGGGCGTACATACACCCCCAGTCTCAACAACCGTCAACAAGCGACGCCGTGGCAATAGGCTGTACCCACCGCGGAGACAATACGAGCAGCCACAATACTGCAGTCATGCTACACCATATATCCTGCAGCTATACCATGTCCAGCAGTACCACAAATGACGCGATCTTACCTAGACCGGTGATGGTATTTGGACCGGGATGATGAGACGGTACTCAGCAGCCAATCAAGCACGCGACGTGTGGTGAGGCACGGCTGAGATCTGGGGGCCAAAACGGAAATCCTGTTCTTAGGATTTCGGAGGTAATAGCTTTAATAGCGCCTCTGCGACAACAAAGTGGGCGCGTGCCCAGCCCAAAGTCTACGGTATACTTACTCCGAAGTTGACCTCGATCTTTTGCAGAAGAGACAAACACTTCCAGACTTAGCGACAGACCTGCTGGCCCCCGTGAGGCTATAGCTTCGCTGCTTCTAGAAACCCTCGAAGTATTCTTGTGGGCACTGAAACATGAGGTTTGGGCGTGGGCGGGATAGTCCTGAACCTACAGATCCGGTCTTCGACGAGGACCAAGATCTCAGCGAAGTCTGGCCACAGGTCGTGCGGCAGTATGAGGACACCACCAAGAAAAAGCTAGATAGTACTACTACCTTCAAGAGCTTCCAGCTGCAGATTGATGCAGACATCAAAGAGTCAACGACGAAAAGCCACCAACATGCTCGAACTGTTCTCAACAATGTCGGTACCTGTCTCGAGAAGTTTGGGAGCATTGTCGCACAAGGGGCAAGTGTAATCTTCGGACCAACTGCTCAATGCTGGAATGCGATAAGCTTCGTGATTCAAGCAGCACGCGGCATCAACGATATGATGGACGGGTTCGTCACTCTAATGGAACGCTCATCCGCCTTCTTGCGACGTCTTGTGTACTTTCTGGAACAAGAGGCCGGCAAAGATGGAGCCTATTTGCCGCGCCCTCTTCGTAGGCCAGCATACGAGATTCTATCACAGTTTCTGGGTGTGCTTCGTTCTTCCTACAAGCTAGCTACCAGCACAAGAGAGCGAATGAAGTCGATGGCCGGAATCATTCTCTTCAACTCGAACGATGCGGTCGCAGAGTCACTCCAGCTCATGGAAAATCATATTCAGGAGTTCACCAGAGCCGAGGCTGATGTCATACTAGTAGGAGTTCGAGGGCTTGCGAAGCATCTCGTCAAATCTGACGAGGAAAGAGCCCGCCACCAGAGTGAAATACTTGAATACCTCCAAGCCACATACAAAGTCGGTGATCAGGTTCTGAGCGTCACTCAGCAGATGAAGACTACTCTGGACGGTCGAGCTAATAAAGACCAACAGAAAGAGAATTTGGTCAAGATAGCGAACAGTTTGGGACTGAAGAAGCCTGGGGACTGGGAGACTTGGACCAAGCGGCACAGTGAGCTCTGCAAAACGCATGTGGAAGGGACAGGAGAATGGCTCAGTCAAGACGAGCCTGCATTCAGCCACTGGGCTGATCTGGAACAGCACGAAAAGAAGGTCCTCTTCCTGAAGGCCGACTCAGGTTTCGGCAAAACACATCTTTTCAACCACGTTGTTTCTCATCTCGAAAAGAAATGTCGGGCTGCACGCGGACCTAATCAGGCTTTTATCGCTTACTATTACTACGGAGATGAAAAAGACGACTCCCTCGAACGGTGTATTGGGTCCATCATATACCAGTTTGCAGCTGCAGATGTCGGATATGCTCAAACTGTAGCAGACGAGTGCACGCGACTCGCAAGCATTGCGCGAGCTGAGGATCGATGGCATAATCTTGTTTCGGGATTACAGCGCGCCATGAAAGGGACTTATTTCATATGCATGGACGGTTTCGATAGTCCTGGCCAGCTGGACAGTGTAGAGGTGATGATGTTAACTATCGCCGGCCAAGCTGCGTCTTCAGCCAAGTCTAACGGGGTTTCCCTACGTCTCTTCGTGTCCGGAAACGACGATGCGCTTTCTGAGATCTCGCAACGAGTTAAAGATGTCGACACCATTCTTCTCGGGAAACGCAGAGTCTCTGCCCAATCCATGGAACGAGCGGGCAACAATGCAAATATAGCCTCAGACTCGCTGCCGAACGCAAGCGATCTGAGAGCTGTCACAAGCGCCAGGATCGAGGAGGTTTGCAAAACTAAACCTGGTCTGAAGGCTCTTCTTAGCGACGCGAACATCGAGCTTTTGCTTGAAGGCATACGCGGAAACTACAGAAACTTGGAGGCCAAGTTGACGGAGATCAACGCTTGCGACACTAAAGGAAAAGTTCAGGAGGTCATCAACAACACAAGTGCCGACATGAACGCCGTACAGAGAAACAGAATCAAGACGCTGGACGCTCTTCTGACTTCACGTCAGGCTCAGGTGCTCAATTCTCTTCTTGTGTGGATTGCAGGCTGTACCTACCCACCAAAGATCAAGCTTCTCGAGAGCGTTCTTTTCTTCACCTTTAAGGAGGACTTCCTCCTCACAGATCAAATTGCTACTACCTACTCGCCTGTGCTCACGATTGACAAGGAGGGCAGGGTGGAATTCAAGGACGGCCTTAGGGATATTTTGTCCGTGGATACTTCCTCGGGAGCCGAATCTGCGATCGCTCAGTTACATGCTGAAGCGATCACTACTGCCGAAGTCGAGCTTTGTCGCCGGTTCATACGAAAAGCTTGTGATGCAACAGATTACGCCAGGTTTAGGTTCGATGATTTCTTCCAGGCCATGGCACAAAAGGTACATATTCACCTCGATGACGACAACACTGTGAACGTTACCATGATCAGCTTGTGCATCGATGTTCTGTTCGACAGTCGGAAGGACGGAAGCCTCGAAGCAATGCGCGACCATGCTTCATTGTGGTTTTATGAGTATCTTAAGGCCTTGGTCAAGACGCTCGATGATTTTGAGCCACAACGAAAGTTTATGACTGGGATCGGAGGCAAGCTGGTTGACTTGTTCTGCGACCCCAAGATGATCGATATGTGGTTCTCCAAGAAGAATTTGTCGTGGTTGAAATACGATTACCTGTATTCTGAAGAGAACCTCGACGCTATCTTGGCGTTGCTGAAGAATTCGCAAGTGGCCAAAGGCTATGCAAAGGATGCAGAGAAGAGTGAGTGGGTAAAGTCCATCATTTCAGATGCCGCGAGCAAATACTCCGTTCTCGAGCGCATCGCAGCGCGGCTGGCGACCCACTGGTTTAGCTGTTCGACTGGAACAACAGACAAGGATTACCTTTGGATCTCATGGGGTATTGTAGCCAAGGTGAGTTCTTCCTGACAATTCTGAAAGGTTATCTGACACCGATAAACAGCTATCCAAGCCAGACAGACCTTTTGAAGAATGGAACCCGCCTTCGAACGCAGAGATCGACGAGTACATTGGTTGGGTGAAGAAGCACAAGCAAATCGAAATCGACAACTCCACCTGGGATTACCGCGTAGGCGCTACGTATCTCGTCTTTGAGCATTACAAGGAAGCTGTTATTGCGTTGGAGAAAGCGAAGCAACACCCTCGGTCAAACTGGGGACTCTTCTTCGGTCTAGCAAAGGCCCATGAGAATGAAAAGAACTATCGTGCAGCCCTCGGTTACATGCAGGATTTCAGGTCGCTCGGCGAAGGGTCACTGGAGACGGATGATGCGTACAAGGAGGCCTACTGGGACCTGCTCAGGACGGAAGGAAACTGCTTTAGGAAGTGTTGCGACTACGACCTGGCTATCAGATCCTTCCAGGAGCTTTTGAGCCAGGATATCGAAGAAACGTCTGATATGAATTGGCTCTGCTTATACGCTCTTTCAGGTATCTTCAAGACCTGGACCGACACAAAGCGCTTTCAATCTATCATCGAATACATTCGCAATTGGAAGGATGCAACAGCCAACAACCGTGGCCCAACATACTGGTTACGGAGAGCAGCATACGAAGATGACGTCCATGCATGCATCATTGCGGCTGCAAAACATGTCGGAGCTGTGGAAGAAGTCATCTCTCTGTACCAGGAGGCTATAGACTACAAGTCGCCAGACCCTTCTACTGGAGAGGAACCGGGGGTAGATAGTTCTGCCGAAGCAACAGGACAGCTGCAGCACTTCCAGGCTGTCCTCAGATTCCACGGAAGTACGTCCCAAGATGATCAGTACCGGAGTATACAACACTGGGAAGGGATTGTCCTGCAATCAGACCAGAATCCAACGTTGTTTATGCCAGCATGGAACGCGGCCCGGAAGTTGGCCCCGATTCTTCTTGACAAGGGAGTTGCTGAGCTTGCAGCAGCTCCCTCGAGCGCTTGCGAAGACTACACCAGCCGATTGAAGAAGCTTGTCAACCTAAATACAACGATTATCCGTAATCTTCGTCAAGGAGCTTCCGACCCTCGCCTTTGTTTAGCAAGGCTATACTGCCTCAAACAAGACAATAAGTCAGCTGCTGCGCAAGCGCAGGCTCGGCTTTGCAGTGTCTTCGACAAGTGGCCTGAAGCTCCTGATGATGATTCACTCTCTCTTCGTTTCTCGAACCTCGCTCAGACGTTGACTGTCCTCGACAAAGATGCGGATGCTGTTGCAGCATGGCAAGCAATCGGGCCATATGAACCTACCAACGCTACGGAGGCGAAATCAAACGCACCGGGTACTGAAGAGCCCGCACAGCCAAGCTGTGAGCCATCCCACAAGGATGATGTGCCAGCGACGTCCGAGAACAGTCCGGAAACCATACCAGCCACATCTCCATCATCTACAACTACCACTAAGGCGTACCTCTCAGGATATGGCTGCGGTGCAGACTGCGGGACGCAATGGGAGAACATGCTAACTGACTGTTGGGTATGCAAGCACTGCCTTTACTTCCAGCTTTGTCGTAACTGTTACAAGAAACTTCAAGAGGACGATCTAAACCCTTTGATCTGTAACAAGGATCACAAGATGCTCTATTTGCCGCCATTCGACTGGGAGGCATGGCGTAGTATTCCAGCAGACATGATGACTGTGGACAAGCAGCTAGTATCTCGTAAAGACTGGGTAGACAAGATTCGTAAGGGGTACAATGTGCAACAGGCAGAGATCGATCTCATCAAGATAGAGAAGGCGAGGGAACTGAAGGCTGCCAGTGTACTTGCCGTACAATGGCGCAATAGGTTACAGAGAATTAGGGCCAACAGACCGTCGGCAGCGCCTGCACTTCGTCGGGTCGGGACTGTCGCAAAGGGCATTGATGCAACCCACGTAACAAAGCAGCACGACATCTAGATGAGAGTAGGATGGGCGTTCAGCGATGTGTCGATCGAGATTCATTGCTGAGAATACACGACAGTTATTGGACACAGCACAGGCGCTCGTCTCTATTTTTTTTCTTGTGTTGCTCCAACTCCTCACGACCTCGTTGTGCTTCCCAACCCTCCACCCACTCTACAAAGGTTGGGTGGTCAAATTTTCTCGCCTCAGCGAGTGCAGCATCCGGATCCGCGCCTCGGTCGAGTAGAAACCATGTCAGTTCGCGTGCATCTGTGTCTGGTCTGCCGACGCCAACGATGTATTCTAGTGGTGTCCCCATTTCTCCTTGCAACCATTTCGTGTCGCGCGGAAAGTCCAGCTTGTTCACATCCAAGCCCACGGTATCAACCAGATGGCGCACCATCGCCATACGTTGGAAGTAACGCGCCCTGCTCCGCCGTTGCCATTCCTCGTCTTTCTCGGGGTCGTCCGTCCCCTCGTGACCCAACGCCGCCATGAGCACCGCCCTATGCAGTGTACAGGGTCCCAAGGGAGCCCTTTTGGATCGCAAGAACTCAAACATTGCGATGTCACCCGTCTCCGCAACCTTCTGCAGTATGGGCCTCTTGTATGGTGGTTCCCCAGGCGTGGCAAGTTTTGCGCCATGCTTTAGGCACCATGCAAGCTTCTCGCGGTCATGGATACAAGACCACATAAAGGGGCTCTGCCAAGATCGAGGTTCTCCTGCCCAGTTTATGTCCCAGCCATGAGCGAGCAGGAACTTGAGAGTGGAAATTTCAACCTCTTTGCCAGAAACGTCGATGTGCTTAATGCTAACGCCGTGTTTGATCAGATAGTGAAGAGCTGGTATCGAGTTCTTCTTTATGGCAATGCCTACGGCTCGTTCATCGTCGCGTCCCTTCGCATTGCCTTGGGCGTTGGTCCTGACCTGCTCGAATAGCTCTAGTTCGTGCTTGTGCATCGCGGTATCAAAAAGAGTCTTCACATCCTCTGCCTGATGCATCGTGGGCTTGCGTGTTAAGCAATGTTAGGCTCGTATACTCTTTATTACTGCTGGCGTCTATTTAGCTGCTGACCTAGATTGATAAGGTGGCGGGTACAAAAAATGGGCAAAAAAGAACATGTGCTGGCAAAAACATACAACAGCGGGGAAGGTGTCCAAGTCTGGTATAGCCCTCTACCAGTATCAAAAAGGTCGTAGAATAAGATTGAATATCCTCGACCTGGGAAAGCTCGTGCCGAGCCGCGAGGCTCGGCACCCGAGGATTACCCGGCGAGGTAGCTCTGCTCATAGAAATCAGGTAACGACCAGGAATATACACGCGGATACCACACGTTGTGCTCCATGCTGTAATGAGATCAATTCTTCAAGCTGTTGTGTCATCTTATCAAGCCACCCGTAGATGCGCTTTTACCGTAACTCCGTCGCTGAAGATGCAATGCAGGTATTCTTCTCCTTCTCATACGCCACGTCCGACAAATGTTTCTGCTCCTATCCTTGGACGATCCCCCATTTAGTCCTTAGGAAGCATGTCCTGCTCACTGCCGTCCCTGGGCACATAGTTGATACCCGCGCTCTCCACCGCTCCAATCACGTCTTCCGGGAGAATACCCTCGACCTGGGTCGCGTAAACGCCTGGGACGTAGCCCTCCAGGCGCTGATATCTGGCAACCCAGCTCCTTGATGTATCCGCGACAGTGATGAGGCCTTCGAAGACCTGGGATGTGCAGTCGTTGATCTGCTCGGGGTTGCCGGCGAGCTCGATGATCTCTTCGCAGTTGGGGCAGCCCTGAGTGAGGAACTGATTCTGGGTTCGGACAATGGAGCAGACCATGCAGGCGCGCATGTTGCGTTGCTGGCCTGGCGGTATGTGCGCACCGCCCTGGATCATGTTCTGGGCCATCTCGGATTTCTCGATGTTGGGACGAGGGTTCGCGGGCGGCTGCTGACCTGGCTGATGGCGGGTTTTTGGTGTGACAGCGGAGCGCTCAGTACGACCAGGGAGATTGGCGTCTAGGGAAGAGTTGTCGCGACCTCGACCTGCAGTGCGCGGACGTGTAGGAGGATTCTGAGGAGGAGTATGGGGCTGCTGCAGAAGCGCTTGATGGTGAAGCGGAGTCTGGTTGTCGAAGATGGATGTAGGCGACCCGAAATACTCGATGGCAGGACGGATGTCGTTGTTGAAGCTGACAGGAAACAGAGCGTCCGCCAGTGTCCTACTTTGTTCCACGGTTCCGGAAGCTTGGCGAGGCTGTCGGCGCTCTGGCTCTGGACCTGACTCGGGCGCCGCTTTAGAGAGGTTTAGTCGCTCACGCGAGGCTACGGGATCGACATTCTCCAACTCGTGCGCAAAGTATGGCTCCTCGTTTGCCCTGCTATTTCCTCGGAGGCGTGTAGTGGCGCGAGGTGGGGTGACATCAGGCTCGACTTCGTCGCCGTCAGAGTCGACGGTGATGTAGCGATCTTTAGGTGTCTTGACCGTTGCCCTACCCTTGCGCGCCATGATGTCTAGTCGGAGCCGAGGTCTCTGGTTGGTTGATCGTTGGTGGAGGCGTTAGCGGCAAGGCCAGGCGATGGCGGGACAGACTCGTTTGATAACTTTCGGCGGGCAGTGCGGGCGACAGGTCACCTTCATTTTGTTGCCGTACGTCACTGGTTTGCTATTCAAATCTCTTAACGCGCAGGGACGCAACTTCCCTCCCGTCAATCAACAGGTGCACCAGCCCGTCGCGCCTTCTGCAACTACACCCGCTGCCCGCGTGCCTCGCATAACCCAGCTTGTCCCGCACTGCGTCGATACATCATGGGTGCCCCGACCGACGAAGCCACCAAGCTCAAGGACCAGGGCAACAATGCCTTCAGGAACCAGGAATGGGACAATGCCCTTGAGTTCTACACCAAAGCGATAGAGGCCTACAACGCAGAGCCCTCGTTCTACACCAACCGCGCACAAGTACACAGCCCACCTGCGCCTCCCGAGCATGTACTAATCTATCCTCCAGACATACATCAAGCTCGAACAGTATGGATACGCTATACAAGACGCCGACACGGCGATTGAATTGGACCCAAACAACGTCAAGGTACTATTGTCGCAAACTCATATCGTCATCATGACGCTCATCGCAGCACCAGGCATACTACCGCCGCGCCTCAGCGAATACCGCCATCCTCAAGCACCGTGAAGCGCTGCGCGACTGGAAGCTCGTCGTCAAGAAAGCCCCCAACGATGCCAACGCAAAGCTGCGCATGGCCGAGTGCGACAAGGTCGTCAAGCGAGACGCCTTCCTCAAAGCCATCGAGGTCGAAGATGCGCCGTCGGCAGCAGAGGGTCTAGACTTGGAACACATGGCCGTAGACCCCTCATACGATGGCGCAAAGCTCGGAGACAAGATGACATTGGAGTTTGTCGAAGACATGATTGAGCGATTCAAGAACGGCAAGAAGCTGGCCAAGAAATACGTCTACCAGATCATCATCGCCGTCATGGACATTGTCAAGAAGGAGCCCACCATGGTCGAGCACGATGTCGAAGATGGAAAAGAGATCACCGTCTGTGGTGATACTCACGGTAGGTTCCAGGCAGAAGGAGTAGATATACTGCGTACTGACAAAGCTAGGCCAATTCTTCGATCTCATGAACATCTTCAATCTCGCCGGCAAGCCCTCCGAAAAGAACGCGTTCCTCTTCAACGGCGACTTCGTCGACCGAGGCTCTTGGTCCACCGAGATCGCCCTGCTGCTTTACGCCTACAAATGGCTATACCCCGATAGCTTCTTCCTGAACCGCGGAAACCACGAGACGGACGACATGAACAGGATGTACGGTTTCGAGGGTGAATGCAGGGCGAAATACACCGAGCGAGTCTTTAAGCTGTTCTCGGAGTCCTTCTCCGCGCTTCCTCTTGCCACCCTCATCGGTAAGAAGTACTTTGTGCTTCACGGTGGCTTGTTCTCGGACGACAAGGTCACGTTAGATGACGTGCGAAAGCTCGACCGATTCAAGCAGCGTCAACCGGGACAATCTGGGCTCATGATGGAGATGCTTTGGACCGACCCGCAAACGAACCCAGGCCGTGGACCCAGCAAGCGCGGTGTCGGTCTGCAATTTGGTCCCGATATCACCAAGCGCTTCTGCGAGAACAACGGCCTCGAGGCTATCATTCGGTCGCACGAAGTACGCATGGAGGGTTACGAAGTCGAGCACGATGGACGCTGTATCACCGTCTTCTCGGCGCCCAACTACTGTGACAGCACCCACAACAAGGGCGCATTCATCAAGATCGGCCCAGAGTACAAGCTCAAGTTCACCCAGTTCGACGCTGTTGCGCATCCAAACATCAAGCCAATGGCATACGCATCAAGTGGCATGGCCGGTATGATCTAATGAAATTGAAGTAAGTTGGTTCAGTCATTGTTCGCAGCGATGCATACTTGGGTGTTCTTCGGCGCATCAGCATACTCGGAATTGGTTGGGGCTGTGTTTGATCTTTCAGGATTGATTGGGAAGGAGCGCTGCTATACGAATGTACTATAGAGCCTGGACGAAGGCACAATTCCGACGTCGATGTACACGAAAAGCATCGAGCAGAAATATAAGAGCAGAACATTACCTCCTGCGCGTCTGACACGCTATCTCGGGTAGCGCGTGGTAGATGCGTTGCCCCTCACACGCGGCCCCACGTGTTGCATCCCAATGCGGCTAAGTCTGTTGACAAACATGGGTCGTCCTCGCCTTCCATCTCATCGCGTCCGCCAACCTGCTAACAAAGCGCCCTTTACGCCTGATCTCGCCGTAGATCTATGACACCGGCACCCTGTCGCATCCCTCATTGTTTCTACATCAGCAATGTGAAGACCAATCCACTTGCGCAATCACCATGTCGCCGTATCAACAAATCTTCTCCACCAACGCCGTCCTAAGCGTCTGGCGCAATCTTCGCAATACAAAAGATAACAACGACCTTCTCCTCGCATTCCAGTACCACCAAGACGATGCTCGCGGCCAGAAGGGCAAGAAGTATGCCAAGGGCGGCGTTGTGGAGAGCTCGCAAGAGGTCGCAGATGGAAAAGCGATCGACGTCGGTGGCAAGAGCATTGGGTTTGTTGTGCCATGGCGGGCCATGCAGGCTCAGAGACGCGAACTGAAGGAAAAGGAAAAAGAGCTCGCTGAAGCACTAGTGGCACTGGCTGGAGAGGTTGCCTTTACGGGTATGTGCCTAGCGATGGGTGGTTTTGGGGAGTGTTAGAATATGCTCATATACTGACTATCACAATAGATCTCTCTTCTACCCTGCAGTCTTCGCTCACGCAAAATCCTCTCATCCAGATACGCCACCTTGCTGCCGGTCTGTCGCGTCAAATGTCGAAGATCGAGATACAAATGGCCGACAATGCTCCTTTCGCAAATGGCAAGAATCTATACACCGGCGGGGAGATAGCGCAAAGGTTCCTCCCGCCGATACAAACACTCTTCCAACAGCGGCCCGTACCCCAGCGCATGATCTTCGAATTGCTCATGGAGTTGAAAGACCTCATCTACATGGGCATGGCAGGTTGCGACAAAGAAGTCCTGGAATGGGAGGTAGATGGCGCTGCGATTGGAGCGTTGGAGGAGCTGGACGATGCGATGGTCAGAGCAGTCACACCAACAGTACCAGCCATCGAACCGGAGCAACGAAAAGAGGTTGAGACTGGGCCCAGGCGTATACTAAGGCGCAAAGCTTCGAGCCTCATCTCTAACTCCGTTGTAGTACAACAGCCAGTCTCCTTCCTCCTTGCAGCGCCAGAAGAACTCCTTTACAGTCTCGAATCGCTCGAAACGACAGCGCTCGCACTTACACACCTCACACTCCCTATACCCGATCTTTGCGCACACGCCGTCATAACTCTCCGTCGTCTCACGCCTCGGCAGACCCTAACAGACTTCTTACAGCAGAAGAAACGAAGAAATGGCCGGTGTGCAGAGCTCGCGCGTTGTATGAGGTGGGCTGGTACGCAGTGGCGGCAAAACGGCGGTTGCAGGAGAGGTTGCTTGAACGAAGACGAAGATCCTGAAAACCTTCCTAGCTGGCATAGGAGTAGTCGCTGGTTCGACGAGAAGGGTAGTGGGACATTTATGGTCGGTGGAGGAAGGGCGACGCCGAAAGATGATGGATTTGGTGTCATCAAGATGACGCCTTCGTAGGCAGCCCGCGGTGGGGTTTTGGGACTGTTTGGAAACTGGCGTCATGGATGTACGTGTACGATGGGATGGATTTGGATGATACTCGACGCAACGATACCCTTTTGATTTCTCGGTATATATAGGGTAGGCTTCGGTTAAAACACCAATATAGTCTTTGGGAGGGACTGGAGGCATTGCTTTGTGTATAGGTGGCGAAAGAAAGTGAACAGTCACTAACACAGATAGGAATGCAATGTACTACATAGCCATGTATGAGACATCCCGATCTCTTCCTAATTTTCCCTCTTCAGGTCGCACAAGATCCGCAATTCTTTAGGTTACGAGAATGGTAGCGCCCCTGTGAACCATAAATGAGCTGTGGGTCAATCGACATTCCATTCTTGGGTGGATCTGGCATCTAGCGACCATGCCGGAGCCTACCGCTCAGATCATACTTGGGTGTCTCTGGTGGTGTATACAGTCATTCAGGTATTGGCAAGTCGCACATTCAGAGATTCGCCAGACTCATATGTAATGGTGAGCCTAAGTCGAAGCGCAAGAGAACAGTCACTGTGTAACGTCTGCCGAGTATAAAAGGCGGAAGTTCAGTACGGTATCTTACTTTCTACACTGCATATCCACTCCAGTACCCATACTAAAGGAGCGATAGCCAAGTCTTCCCGAAATTTTCATCCAACAACTCAGCCCGCAACAACTCCACCAGTCACCATGAACCTAAACGCTGAAGTTAGGGCTCCCGGCTATGATGAAACACGCGAAGTCGAAGACATCCCTTATGGAAACCCTTTTTGGGACCCGAACTTCGACCAAGGCTCGCCCGACAAGACCGGCGCCTGCACTGAAAAGAGAAAGCAAATCAGATCAGACCAAGTCGTACCGATGAATGAACAGGGCTCAGACGGCCGCCGCGACACGGGGAATAAGCTGAATAAGATCCTCCCCGTTACTAAGGTCGAACAGTACTGGAACCCTCTGTGGAAGAAGGTGTTCAACGATAAGGTCACGGAGGAAACCTTCGAGAGGATTGTAGTAAGGGAAGAAACCTCCGAGAGGGATGTAATAAGGGAAGAAAACTTGGAGAAGGTTAAAGTAGGGGAATACAAGAGATACAAAGTAGTGTTCCGATGGGCAAAGTGCGGACCGAGATGGTGTGGTCTGCTGGTGAAGGATACGACAGAATGCCCACATGGAACGGTGTTGTGGCTGGATCAGAGGCCGCCGGGGTGGAGCGAGGACGAAGAGGGCTGGAAAGAGGGGACGAATCCTTTCCAGTTGAATTACAGTGGAACTCACTATGGGAGATTTGACTACTTCGACAACGAGGAGAACGTTCCGATGAGAAAGGAGTTTGCAGCTAAGGAGGGTGAGCAGATCAAAGAGGTAGAATGGGTGGCTGGATTTGATTATTGATGGGATGTCTTTGGGAGATCTGGCATAGCTAGCTGTGGTAGCATCTAGGTGATGTGAAATACCTCTGCTAGACGATAGAAACGACAGTATGTTGAGTCTACTTCAGGTTATACATTGCGAGACCAAGACACGCACCATGCATGTGCTCTACAGATGCGACAAAGCCATAGAAGCTTCTGTCGTCCACGTGGAGAGAAATAAGAAACAACATGAAACCAAGTGAGTGACCGGTCTATCCAAGGATTGCGGTTGATATTTGTAGCAATTCTGTCCTGTCATCTTTCCCGTGACCAAATCTCGATCTAATTAGGCTATCGTCGCGGGGTTTGGAAGTTCCCAACTACAATCCCATGCGTGCTTGACGCGCAGTCTGGCTATCAATCCCAGAGTTGGAACCCTCTGAACAAGTGGCAGTGATGAGTAGAAATCCAAGGTCGTAAATTTAAAGCTCGCTCAAACTTCATGATCGTAACCTTGGAAGTCTTTATCACTGGTCGTAAGCATCTCTTATCCGTGAATGGCTGACTGATTCGTTGTCGGACCGTTGTGGCTCGAATTAGCTTCATTCCGTCCTTTACTATGTATGAAGTTGAGATCTGCCCCGATGATACTTTGTTGCGTGCATCATAGCGTAATCTTCCGGAGTTGTATTGCCCAACTTTGGAATGCACAACCTACAACGATTAGTGCGCTCAGGACGTTTGACTCGCATTACATTGAACATCAAATAAGGAGGGGCTCAATAGCTCAGGCGAAAAGGGGGAGTTATAGGAGTAAATCGAGTGGCTTTCGGTGATCCAAGTGGCGAGGCTCAGCCGCAGAGTGGCTTCGAGGGCAGATTCTCATTGGCGTGCTCGCATGCTTGACCGGTCAAGAACATAGGCTCCCCATAGGCGGCAACCAAGAGCCTTGCGGACTGCGATAATATAAGTGAGCCTTTCCCCGCAGAGTTACGGTAGTTTCCAAAAGTTTCTAACATTGATCTGTTCCCCCAGTATGCCACCACCACCACACATACCGCCTGACGAAGATATACGGAAACCGGTTACAGCCCAGGCCAGAGTAGCAATCGTGCAGGATCTGTGGCCAGACCGAGGAACGCGGTCATCGAAGAATCTTCACCTGGTATGGGATGCATACTTTGAACATTACACTCGCGAGTGTAATGCAGTCTTATCAGGACCGTCCTTCAAGAAGTGGAAAATCGCGATAAGACACAGAGAGCTTTTGCAATTCATACATTTGCTAGAAGGAACAGCTGACAGAGAAAAGTTCAGAAAGCTACATCAGGATAAGACGAAGAGGTCAGAGCTAGCACGGAAGATATTAGCAGACAGATTTCGGCTTCCCGATAATGACGGAGCAATGGACGATTTGATCGTTCTGGGTGTTCGCGTTCTTACGATGATGACCCTGGCCGGGTCGACTCTATCATCTGAAAAACCACGATCGACGTGTCTCTTACCTTGGGATACAGGCTCGCTCCAGAACGCAGTACACGGCTATTTCAACCAACCACCAGAGATAGTACTCAAAGCTGACGATACTATCATTGGAGTGGGCCTGACCTTTTACAACATTGAGCGAGTCTCGGGAATCAAGATGGTACCGACGGATAACTTGCTCGATCATTTGCTCCTGGTCGATGAAGACAAGAAAATGCGTGTATTCCACCATGCGTCATTTCTAAAAAGAATGATAGCCACGCAGAGGTACGTGACTTGATTGTCGGAGCAACTAGTAGCAAAGCTGACTCTAATCGTCCGTAGTCCAATATTTCCAGATGATCTTATGCAAGAGACACTGGATACACTCGCCATCCTGCTACCAGAGCAGGATCGCAGTTCAAAGCGTTGGATGCTGCACTTCTGCCGAGCGCACAAAGAGATAACCGTGGATTCCGAACTGGCGAAGTGCGGTCACTTTCCACTAGAGCATCCGTCCAGGCGGTACGAGCGATTTCAGTTCTGGCGCGATCGACTAGTCGTTCTGGAGGAAGTGGTGGAGGATGCCATGCCACCATCCAGTCAATTACTGTCCAGCCTGCAAAAGTCCAATCAGCAATTGTCCAACTCACTACTCAAGGCGATGAACAGTAAAAGCGATCGGTGGATCAATTCATGGTTTGCGATAGTGGCGATAGCAGTGACGCTTTTCTTCGGGCTGGTACAAAGCATTGAGGGCGCCGTGCAAGTATACAAAGCATACCATCCAGAAGGGGACGCGTCGTAACGCCTATCTTCCCGGATCTCGAGAAGGGGCTGAATACCAGGGGGAAACTCGTGTGAAGGGGTTGTAGACTAGCACCAAGATGCTCGCCGAACCTACATGCAATGAACCGTTATCTCGTATTCCAATTCTGAAGTGGCGCAACTCGGCAAGCCGAAGGAAACTGCACGCGACAAGAACCGGCGTGTAGAAAACACGAGTGGCGCAGTGGGGACCTCTACATTAGCGGCACTGCGGCTAGCCTAGCGCCGTCAACACAGGGTCCAAAAACCCCCGGCTCGCAATCTCAGCCCATTCTGCAGTGGGCATGCAGCAACAAGTCCCTTCCCTACGCGAGCACTCCACCACTCCACCCCAAGCTCGCTGCAGTTGCCCCGCAAGAGGCGAATACATCGTCATCTGTGTAATCATAGTGGATACAGGCGACCAGCTTTTGTCGCGGCGAACTTGATGTTTCTGGGAAGGTACGAGAGCTGCAAGAGTCGATTGATAGACCGGACGAAAATGTTGTTGAGGAAAGGGCGATGGGTAGCGTGGAGATAAGGATGCAGCGGCCTGCAGCAAGCACATTTGCGGTGTCGAGCGCTGATTAGCATACGCGGGTCATGCTGACGTCATGGGTTCTCCGCGGCTTCCTTCGCGTGAGGAAGATCTTTGGTTGAGGGGTGGAAAGATGGGGAATACGAATTGACAGCAATGGTGGCAGACACCGCTCTTTTGTGGGTGAATTTGTTGTGGGTCTATTTGATGTTCGCCTGGAGGCTGGGGACGTGAATTGTGAGGAACGCTTTTTTGAGGATTACCTGGATAGTATGGCAACATCAACAAGACAATTCATAGCATAGCAAGAGACAATGATATAACGATCAAAGGCTGTAATTAAAATGCTATATAAAAACGCTCACTATAACACTTTCTTTTTGGGAAACGCCAGTAGAAAACCCATCTATCATCTATATGCTTCGCATGCAATGCCAAAAAGTAAAGACCTAAAGCCTGGTTGAAAGCGACACAAAACGTTTGCCGCCCTGGGGGTATCTCTCTTTAAACGCACATCTAAGCGTACTTCTCAATCATAGCAAGAGCGCCCTCGCGCTCGAGGCCCTCCAATGCGGCTTTGAGCTCAGAGACGAAGCGCTTGTCGTCACGGAGATCGTTACCGAAGAGGGTCTTGATCTCAAGCTGAGCCATGGGGCCCTGGGCAGCGTAGGACTGGAGCTCCTCGACCATGGGGTCGTCGACCTTGAAGGCCTTGCCGGCGTCGTCGATGCCGCTGTTGTAGCGGAACCAAGCGGCAGCCACGAGAGTGAGGCGGCGGAGAGGTCCGTTGGCAACGATCTGCTCGGCGATGCTGGGCATGATGAACTGGGGGATCTTGCCGGAGCCACCAAGGCAGATACGGGGAAGCTCGTCCTTGAGGGTGGGGTTGGAGAAACGGCCGAGGAGGGTGTTGATGTAGTCATCGACGCTGACACCGGGGATCTGGGGAAGGAGCGGCTTGACTTCCTGGTTCATCATGTTGATGACGAACTGGCGGTAGACGGGGTGGCCGATGACCTCGTGGATGTAGGTGAAGCCAGCGAGCTGACCGGCGTATCCCATGGCGGAGTGGCTGCCGTTAAGGAGGCGGAGCTTGATCATCTCGTACTCCTCGACCTTGTGCACGTCGGGAACGATCTGGACACCGGCCTTCTCGAAAGGTGGGCGGCCGTCGACGAACTTGTCCTCGAGAACCCACTGGTGGAAGGGCTCGGTGACAACGGGCCAGGCATCCTCAACACCGAAGTTCTCGGCTAGGCTGACCTTGTCCTCGTCGTTGGTACGGGGAGTGATACGGTCGACCATGGAGTTGGGGAAGGCACCGTTGTTGGCGATCCAGTCGGCGACCTCAGGGTTCTGGTGGCGGGCGAACGAGACCAGCATGTTGCGGCTGATGTCACCGTTCTTCTGCATGTTGTCGCAGGAGAGAACGGTGAAGGGGCGGAGACCAGCGGCGTGGCGCCTCTCCATGGCAGCGTAGAGGTAACCGAAAACAGTGCGGGGTGGTTGCTCACCAGCCAAGTCGGCGGCAACATCTGGGTGGTCGGTTTGGAGCTGGTGGGTGTTCTCGTTCATGTAGTAACCGCTCTCGGTGACAGTCATGGAAACGATGTGGGTGTCGGGGTGGGCCATCTTGGCGATGACAGCCTCAGCGCTGTCGGGAGCGAAGAGGTAGTCGGTGATGGAACCGCAAACGCGGGCGGTAGTACCCTCAGCGGCACGCTCGATGATGGTGTAGAGGTTGTCTTGGGGCTTCAGGGCATCGCGCATGGGAGCAGCGAATGGCTGAAGGTCAACACCGCAGATGGACCAGTCCTTTACGGCGAATTGCTCGAGAAGAGTGTCGACGTAGGCTGCAAGATGGGCTCGGTGGAAACCACCAACACCGACGTGGACAATGCCTTGCTTGACGCCCTCACGCTGGTAGGTGGGGACAGCGACATTCTGGAGTTGGGAGAGGTTCTTGCTGCTGAGCTTGAGGGGAGCTGCGGGTGTTTGGCGCTGAGATGTGGTGGTGCCAGCGGTAAACTTCTCCTCCTTTCGTTGGGAGGATGTCCTGGGAGGGGCGTTGTAAACGTTGTTGTTCTCAGGCGTCCGGCGAACGGCCTCGGAGCTCTGGAACCTGAGGGCAGCAGGGCGGGAAGGCCTAGTGGACTGGAAAACAGCGCGGGCGCGGGCGGCGCGCAGCAGGTTCCTGGGGACTTGAGGAGGCATGGTAGAATAATGTGAGAATAGAATGAGAATACTGGAATACGTGGATGAGAGCAGAGGGAGATACGGTGCTCTAGTATTTATAAAGCGTCAGCCCAATCCTTTTTGTGGGCACATGCGTAGAACCTTGAGCATGGTGCCAAAAAAAGTCGGATTAGGGCCCCTATTTTTTCGGAGGGTCTAGACATGGTGGATTACACAGTATGAGTCGGGACTCGCAGGCTGATAGCCTGTGCTTTGGAAAACGTGGGTTGGCAAAAGGAGGCTGCGGCTTGCATTGTGTTGTGTACGTCGCGGCCTGGTGGTGCGTGCCAAAACGCCAAAACGCCCCAACTGAGCCGCAACACCTGGGCAACTTGACGACACACCCCGAATAGATTCAAACTTTTTGCCCTGACGCGTCTCTACACAAGACCCAGTTTTTAGACTGGACAGGGGTTTCAGACTTTGCGCTCCCGCTTCCGCTCGCAGATGGGGGAGCCACAATTGCGCCGTAGTGCCTGTTGGCAGGCGATTTTGTGCGAGTTGCACAACTATTGCGTGCTAGGTGAAGGATGTTCAAGGGACTACTGAAAAGGCTGTGGCTTGCGTCCACCAGAACCTCACCGCCGCCGGCTTGCGTGGGGGGTGCGGTCCGCCAGGAACACCGACGCTTGGAAGCATGTCGGCTGCGTCGCCGACGCAAGGCTTGCATCTTGCATCGACCAGACCGCGTCTTCATCCACCTTGGCAATAATGCAACAACCCCCAACGTCCATCGTCGTGGCGACTACAACCCGCGCGCATGGCCTCCGCTGTCAGCCTGGCTATCTATGCACCTGGGGTAGCGGGTCGAAGTTCGGGGCTGGGGGTTATCCCGACGCCCATGCGAATTAGACATGTCGAGACCGCCATCGTATCCGTGTTGAGACGATGCCCTCCGCCTCGCCTCCTCGTTTCCAGATTCTTCGATTCTGGATCCCCCCATGACTCGTTCACCGACTTGTCCTTCTGCGAGGATCCTGTCCAACGGCCACCAAAAGGATCTGCGGCCTGCAGCTGAGCCTCATGCATGCTGTTGCACGGCACATCATCCCCGCCATAGCTCTGCGTTGCAGCTATCAGATCGTCCTTAGCCTAAGCCCTAAGCATACCGACCGCCCAACGGAACTTTCTTAGCTTTTCCGCGCTACCTGTACCGCGTCAGTAGCGTCTCAACTGCCACCGGTAGTACTGCTTTCGCACAATCCGAGAGACGACCAGCTGTGGGCGTGGGGATGCGGTCCTAATCTCCACCGGAAATCGCAACATCACTAACAAGCCCGAAGATAAGCCTCGCAGCGACCCACGTCCACGGTCCGGGCTGTCATGGATATTTCCAGGTTCCACAAGCCGCATGTCCTAGAAGGAAGGCAGTAGCGACCTTGCACCTTCTTCCCGGGCAGCCACCATGGAGACCAGCTGGTCCATGCCATGGGGGTAGTCCGGAGAATACCTCTCTCGGCAGAAGAGTTCGATGCGAGCTTAGCGGCCCGGCTAGACCCCAGCTCAGCAATGTACTCATTTGCTTTTCGCCAGGTCATGGCCGCTCGAGACGGTCACCTGGGCATGGTATCAGCGCAAAAGGGCCTGTTCGCGAATCATATGACGGGGATATTGAAACGTGGGCGTTAGTCCGTGGAGGATGCCGCATCCTCTCATGACAACATCTCGATGTGTGCACGCTGCGTGTTGCGGTTTTTGCTTTGTTAAGTTTTGGAGGTTCGTTGGGCGAAAGTTAATCAACCCCACGAGTACGCGTATCGTGATCGAACGATCTTGGCGACGCTATTGGAGAACGCGCAAGCCTCTACGGAGTCGGACTCAAAGAGATGGGAGGGACGGAAAGGGGGATGCGAAATGTTTGATTCCAAGTGTTGTTTTCCTCGCGGGTAAGGACACGATGCCGAAGAAGGCATCGTACTGCTACAGAAAATCATGTAATTCTGGCTCGGCATCTTTCACCGCATCCACCGACATGCTCTCTCACAGATCTGACAATAACAATTCCCGCATCTTATCATACTGCGGACTCCCGAGTCCCGAAGCCATATCCCATCCCGGACCCGCTGGGAAGCCATCCATACCGCCTCCCGGATTATATCTCACAACAATATCATTGAATATCTCCGGATTGTCGTATATGTCCCAGTTCAAAGTGCCAAGTGGTTCTTTGCCATCCGCCAATCGCTCATCATTGATCATATTGATCATGCTGGCAAAGCCGGGTGCAGAAGCCGACGCACCACTCACAGGTCTCGTGGTATTGAGAATCACTACTGGGTAGTTGACGCCAATGACTGCGACATCTGGGTATGCGCGACCTGAGCGATTATAGCGCCCTTCTCCGTATGCTGGTGCTGAGTTGGAAAGCCAGCCCGAGACAGCGTCGTCCTGGTAGCTTGGGCGGGGAAAGACGTTGGATAATCCACCGCCGGAAAACGTGGCTGCCATTTCGCCGCCGGCAATGGTACCATCTTGCAATGTTGTGGCGCCGACGCAAAGGACCTATTGGAAATGAGTATAGCTGCAAAATGAGGTTGAAAGGACGAATGAGTGGATGCTTACATGCGGGCATGTGCAAGGGAATGATGGTGCGAACTGCTCGTCGGAAGACCCAGCGCCATCATCTCCTGATGCGGCAACGATGGTGACGCCTTGCAACCCCAGCTTCATGTACTCGTGACATTGGCGTTCAAGGTAAACACGAGAGAGCTGGCTCTCCGAATAGCTGTATGAGATGGAGATGACGTTGCTCATTGGTGCACCTCCGCATGGTCCGTTCTTTGTGCCTTCTCCTTCATCGTTTTCGGGGAATCCCGGGCCAAGGTACTGCTCGTTGCCGCCCGGGTGGGTACAGTATGTAGGATCCTAGCTACGTTAGCTGTTGCTGCGTCACGTGGAAGATAGCAAGATACTCACCAACGCGTCCAGAAATAAATCGAAACCGTTAATCCACTTCGACTGGCCAATTTGATAGAATCGTACCTTTTGAGGGTAGATGATGGAGGTCGAGGCCTGAACGTCCAAAGCAGTCTCACCTGTCTTGTCAGCTTCTGCCAGAGACAGATCTCCAGGTTTGCCACCGTAAACGTAGACGGATTCTGGCTCAACATCCAGGGGAATCCGAGGGGACGTCCAGTTTCTCAAGTATTCTTTGAAGTCTGGAAGATAGAGATAGTTACCAAGCCCGAAAATACCAAGCTCATTTCCGGTATTGTTGTGACTGGCAATGGGAACGTTGTACAGAGCGCGGAAGCAATAGACGGTAAAAAAGATGTGACAGGTCGACAGATCATCCGCACCACCATGGGCAGTGATATGATCAGCAATAGCCATGGGCTTCGTCGCTGTTTGTACATGAGCCATGGGACGTAAGCCGTCGAGCTGTATTGTGGGCGTGATGTAGTCGACATGTTCGCGAACGTGCTGTGGAAGTTTGTAGTCATCGCATGCCATGCGAAGACCGCCGGATTCCTTTTCATGGAAGTTGTAATACTCCGTTTGAAACAGGTCCTCAACCTCACCAACAGTGGCTAGGAACATGATCCAATCCCGTCCTACGTATTGTCAGTTCTTATTATAATTGGGCACGATAGGTAATGACATACTAGCTGAGAACGTGATGCGACTGTCCTCGACTCCAGCTGCATGGAGCCAGTCGAGAGTCGCGTTTGTGGTTGTTGGATGAGGCGCAAATGTACTGTGGACTCGCTCGGCCGTCCAGCGCTTTCCTATATGATATGTAAGTATACCACATAAGTGACGAGTTCAGGTTTACGTTACGGAAATTGGGTGAGGTTCGATTATGCATATCTTGGAGTGAGCGTTCGCCATGCTTCAAGTTCTGCTGCTTGAGCGCGATTCGCACCGGCATTACTGCATCCCTTGATGCACGTGAGTCTCTATTCCAACCTATCGGGTCCGCCTCTCGCTTCTCGTGGACGACGTGAGAGCCAACTGGGAAAGCGGCAGCTATGGTGCTGAGCCAAAGGAGGAACACTACTAGGAAGCGCATCGTTTCCAAGATGTACTGGGTCTGTGTTAAGTTGTGTAATGTTCTGTAAATCTGTCTTAGTCTGTGTGACTTTGTATGAGTTGTGATGAGTTTGAAGAAGAAACGAAGGTGAAAGTGCCATTCATCTTATACTACTCCAGACGATTTTTTTCATGCTGATTGTAGATACTGTACCTTGGTTTACAAGATCGACTACCATAGTACTACGATGGCAAGTTGTGAATGCCCTGTTGGCGATTGGTCATTGCAATACCACGGTACCCCCAAGCGAATAGCTGAACAGCCATATTTTACGGTGTGCATCCAAAAAAAAATTGATAGGGCTACATTGCCTCAACATTTCTCAAACCTTACGTTGTTGTAGTAATGTAGGCTCCAGAGCACCTGTTCAGTTATGGTTATGGTCGCGGTTATGGTCAGAGCCCACAACGAGACACCTCAAAAGTTTGAACGAAGGAGTTATTAGATAATAGAATGATTAGCACGACCGCGATCTCTGGCCGAGGCAACGGGCCCGCTGAAGCGATAATAGATTCATTACAATAACGCTATGTACGAGCTGACCACTGCTCTGCTGACGCCAAATAATGTATGCCAACATGATATGCCCATGGGCACGATGGTCTGAGCCCAAATCAGTATATACCGAAGTTTAGCAGCACCCGCCCCAGCCCTGTTGCTTTCCCTTTTTACTCGCGTCATTCAGGTTGACGCCTGCCCTATTCGCTCCGCCTCCCGGCCCCTTGACTCCACTCCTGCGATCGTTCAAGTCGTACTTGCCAGCTTCTATATTTTGGTATATCCGCTCTGCGACTTCCAAAAAGGCTTGTTCCACTCCCTCTCCGCTCTTGGCGCTCGTCTCGACGTACTGCATGACGCCATTCGCTTTACACCACTCCTCAGCCTCTTCTTTTGTGACTTGTCGCTTGTTCGCGGTGTCCGAATCAGTTACGGTAGACGACCCCGCGAGATCAGACTTGTTGCCCACGAGCACCACGACGATGCCTTCCTCGGCGATTTGCCGCAAGTCGTGCAACCATGACGTGGCGGAGAGGAACGTGTTCTTCCGCGATATATCGAATACTAGCAGCGCGCCCGATGCGCCCCGGAAATAACTTCTGGTGATGCTCTTGTACGTCTCCTGGCCTGCTGTATCCCATAGCGAAAGCTTCATGTGCTTCTGCTCCTGCTTTTGTTTCGACGGCGATACAGGCGCTTGTGCTTGTGAGGATTTGGAGGGGTTGTTGATGCTTAGGGAATGCGACGCTGGAGGGCCGACAGGAACGATGCGCGATCCGAACTCTACGCCGATAGTTACGTCGTGGTGTGGTGAGAAGCGGCCTTCGCAGAGGCGGACTGTTAGCTGGGAGGCGTTAGCATGGAGGCCCTGGGTAACGGGGATGGTGTCGCATACACTTGATTTACCACATCCTGAATCGCCTAACGATACGATCTTCGCTATGTAGTCCCACGGCTGCGCCATGGTGCTTTGTGACGCCGTGTGGCTGGTGTAGCAGTCGACCTGAGGTGCAGGCTTAGGGCGGTGGTCACGGCAAATCCACTAGAGGTAGACGGATATGTATAGGAAGACGGTATTTATTGTTCAGAATGTATGTAGAATAAAGTAGTTCGCAAGTTGAAGCTTTGGGTGTGTCTGACAGGAAGCCAGTTGGACGATAGTGCGTGAGTGAGATAGGTCAGGGTCCCGGCCATGCGGTCATAGCTCGGCAGCTGCTTGAGCCACAGTCGAAGGATGCGACCCATGGCAAACGTGAAAAGCATGTCGCGATTTACTTTGCGCAAGCTTCGGCTCCATGCCATCTTGCTTTTCTCTGTAGCTTTGATTGATTGCCACTACGAAACATGAGTCTGACAAGCAGGAGGTCGGGTTGCCTTGACTCGGACAACCATTGTCAGGACAAATTTGCAGACAAATGAGCACGACTAGAAGAAGATAAAAATGTCTGCAGACCCGTAGAGACAAGTTTACCGAATGCTTTGCATGTGAGGTGGAGCATTGATGGGGGCTAGGGAATAGCGCGTGCCTTGCATGTTCACGAGGTACGTGAGCCCGACAATCGATAACCCGACGCGCTGGCTTGGCACGATGATGAGATGAGCAACCATCACTCCAGCGCACCCGGCCAGCCACTCAACTCACTCACCACCTAGGCGGGCTAGAGCTCCCTGCTGTCCTATTGCTACCGCCCTACCACCGCCATCTCTACCATCTCCAGCTGGACACTGCGCCCTCTGCCAGGCCCCAGCTGCATGTCTCTTAGGCTGCGTCATCCGCGGCTGCCTCTTGTACTCTGGTACCCTTGCGCTCGACCGCCTCACGACCGCTGACCTCGCACCTGAGCCACCTTCGCTTCGGGACTTTGCTCGCGATAGATATACCTGGCCGCCATCGCCGAGCTCATTAGGCATATACACATCTATCGCGCTCTTTATCTATCATGTTCTCTGAATGTAAGTGGACCTGGTGCCTTATCGGGTACATGTGACAGATCCGCCGCCTGTGTCTTGAGCAGCTTATGGACTCGCGTGACTGACGTGCGTGCTCCCCAGATGCATCCAAGTTTCTCTCCCAGTCTCAGTCGCGGCTGTCACTGGGCCAGCCCGAGCCGACTTCAACCCGCAACGCCCCCGACAGGCAGCGCCCGTCCTCGCGCGCCTCCCAAGCCTACCTCCAGCGTCGCAACATGCCCAACCCATACAACTCGCAGGCCATGAGCCGCTTTGCCTTCGCTTCACGAACGTCCAACGCGCCCGCGCCACTCTTCTACTCCGCCACCGATGACTTTCGCGAGGAGGACGACCATGCCGAGCACGACAGGGACTTAGCAGACCAATACGCGCTGCAACGCTCGCGACGGCAGTTTGGCGCAAGCAATCTATCCGAGTCATCTGAAGTCGATGACGAACATGGCCAAAGATCCGATCATACGATAGGTGCGGACAGGGACGAGAACGAAGCTCCCGGCTATGGTCTGGGGAGAGGGATTAAGAGCTCCTGGAAGGGCGACAAGCCAGCACGTGGGAGATCGACCGTTATCAACAACCCAGAAGACGAGGAAAGAGAGTCAAGTGTACCGCTCTCTGAGACTACAGATCGCAGCAGCAGAGGGAGAGGCCACCTCGTAGATGTGGAGCTTGATTCCACAGATCGGGGGAGTATAGAAGAGTTGGACCGAGACGAGCTCCTGGGTCACCAGGACGAACCACCGCCACCCTTCCAACAGTTTCGTAACATGCCGAGGCCGAAGCGCGGTCGCAGCCCACTACGAAACACCCTACCGATACCACAGGAAACAGACGAAGACACTCTGCTCGAACACCCACGCCCGATAAGTCCGGATCGCCAGACTGTCCCCGACGACGTGCCAGAGAACCCGACATCAGCGCCACGACACAACTTCTTTTGGGCTGAGCTCTTCATAATCGTGCAGTGTGCCATCTTTGGCACATGGATCATCTCATTTCTCCAAGAGTCGCCACCGAACAAAAAGAACCCACTGGGCGACACGATATATACTGTCCTGCATTCATCGTTCCACCTCATTGGTGTGTACACACTGGTTTCGGTCATCGTCGGAGTCCTATGGCTATCGCTACTTCGGTCCTTCGCTCGGCCCTTGGTGCAGTTAATGTTACTGGCGGTACCAGTGATATCGTTTTCCTTCTTTGTATACCCTTTCGCATCAAGCTTCAAAGGGTCATGGCATGGCGATAGCGTACAAGACCGGCTGATGCGCTGGCTTTCGTTTGGGCCCTTGTGCTTCGCTGGGTTCTGGGTGTACACCATCTTCAAGGCACGACATTCTTTAGACAAAGCTACAGGCATGTTGGAGTTCTCAAGTGAGATTCTGAGAGCGCAATTCCCACTGCTACTCGTGGGTATTGCAACACTAGCTGCTGTGATACTCTGGGCGTGGATATGGATCCTCATGTTCACACGCCTATTCCTTGGCGGCCATTTTGCTAGCAACAAATCCCGATGGATCATCGATGCTAGTACGTGGTGGCTTGGTGTTGTATTCTTCTTGGACTTTTTCTGGGGGTTGGCGGTCATTGCGGGTGTGCAACGCGCCACGACGGCAGCCACGGTATCTCAATGGTACTTCCACCGCAACAGCGTGCCTGCACCCGCGGCTAGAACGGTGGTCCAAGCCTCTCTCAGTCACGCGACCTACACCATGGCCGGCACGATCTGTTTGTCAACACTGATCTCACTCCTGGTCCGCCTTCCGCTCATCGTACTTCCAAGGCGACTAGCGGGTATGATTGGCATGTGCGCATATTCAGTCGTGCCGACGCCCATCGCTGCATTGACGAACCCGCTCACCCTGACCTACGCTTCCATCCACGGTGTGCCTCTCAATCAAGCAGCGCGCGGTCTGTCACAGATGAACTTCATCTCCGCTGCTTCGCCAACCACAACTCTCGGCCCATCCTCGTTCAAGGACCATGGCCGACCATCGATTCAGTCATACCGTCTGGCAAAGTTGCTTCTCCACGCCATCCGCTGGGTCATAACATTGTCTCTCGGTTTCGGTGGATGGGTCTCGACTGCACGCATGCTCCAAGTCGGCGGGTCTGTACCATACAAAGGCAGTTTATACGCATACGTCGTGGGTCTCATCAGCGCAGCAATCGGCTGGGGCGCTCTAGGTGCCATGGAAGGAGTTCTCGGGGGTATCCTGGACGCAGTGCTTGTGTGCTGGGGTAGTGAAGTAGGAAGCGACGGGCAAGGAGAGGCTCGGTACTGTGTTGACGCCGGACGGTTGTTCGGCAATGAGGTCACTGGGCAAGGTCGAGGAAGATACGAAGTCTAGAGCATGTTTTTCGTTTGCATCATTGGCGTTTCAGCACCAGAAGAACCTGGATAACAGATACGGTTATGGCGCTTGGGTATACCTATCGTTTATCCTTTTCAAACCGCTTTTGCTATCGGCAATAGCGCTCGTATAGTTTTATTCAACTGAGATTGTTATGCAAGTCATTTGTCTACGATCATCGAGGGGGGACTTTTCCATGCGCTCACAGTAGTAAGTAGGCGTAGGCGTAGACATTGGTGTACGCTGATCACGTCACGGCTGGATGCGGCACGCTAGCGGGTGACGCTCAGTCCCGGCTCAAGCACAAAGCACTCCAGGGCTCCGACTTCCCTTCAACCATCATCTTTCTATTTTTTCCTACGCTCTCTACCAGAACATACGTGGTGTGGTTTTCTATTGGACTGGTTCACTTTGTCTAATACGATGATGAAGTGTCAAAACTCTTGGCGCTCGGTGCTGCACCTGTGGCAAGACGTCAAAGGGACGTTGTAGCTACATCTGTGCATGTATCAAACGTTGACATAGTACACAGTAAGTTCTGTGGCATTTGTTCGTTAAAAAAGCGTATAGAGACAGAGATGAGTGGTCGTCGGAGCCGCGGCAGACTGTCGCGATGCCAGGTAACTAGAGCGGCGAACAGTAGAGCTTCTTCGTACGGGTCGGTCTACTTTTGACACCTAATGGCGACATCAGAATTACAGTCACGCGACGGTCGCTACCTATACGTATGTCGAGCCTGTGGCCTCTGCGCATGTTATGTGGAGCAGTCCCTCGGTCCCACCTTGTTGACAAAGAACTCACGTCTGTGCCGGGCACTGCGTAACCCTCCATGAACCCGAGCTGACGGACGACTGCCATCGAAGAAGCCGCACATGGAGACGTGCAGCGGCGTATCGGAATGCTAGCCCACCTCGCTCACATCGATGAGTGTTACTCCGCTAGTAGAAATGTGTTCGATGAGTCTCTCGAGCGCACTTTCCCGCTGGTTAGATCTCTCGGCGTCCTAATCACAAGATGGTGACCGATGTAGAACCCGCAAAGACTCGCTTATCGCGGCAGTAAGTCATCGCGGACCTCGCACAGCTCATGCTACGGATGCTGGAAGTGGTACACTCTCCGTATGACTATGAAGACCAGTGTCATCGACAAGCATATCCGCTTCACTCCGTCATGCGATGACTGTATTGACATGTAGCTGAAATGAAGAGTCATGTTCTGGGAAGGTATAAAAGGTCTCCAGGGCGGGCAGCTTTGGACTCTATAACTCTTTCACATAACTACTCAAGCAAACGATCAAAGTCTTTTGCACATCATCCTATTTACCAATTTCGAGTCTCGAGATCAAATATTTAACCGAAACACAACTTCTCATCATGTCCAGTCAGGAAGGCAATCAAGCTGATGCCACGAATTGGATCATCATCACGGAAAACGAGACGAAGATGCAGAGGTTCTACGGTCCTTTCAGCAGCGACAAGGAACATTGGGACAAGGAGGCAAAAGTTTTTGCCGATCAGATGCTAGAAGACCGTACCGAACCTACGGACCCCAACGTACGAGCCGAATGGAAAGTCCTGATGGTCATCGCTGTCACAGCTGCGTTTTCAAATCCTAGCTGGTCGCGGGGTTTTCCGATATGGACTGACATTACCTCCTACGAAGGTAGTAATTTCGACCTTGAAACGCAGACCATCTCTCTCAACCAAGGGTTCCAGAAGGATGCCGCGATAGCCATGAAGAAGCTCGCAGCAAGCGAGAATATGGACGAATACCGACCTCCAAATGAACCAAAAGCTACATACGGAGATGGATTGAGGGTATTTTACGTCAGCGTCAGAAAAGCCGAAATGCGATGGTTTGAAAATCTAATTAAACGAGACATTGCGAAGGATCCAGCCAAATTCTCATCTCCATATATAATGGGCGCGAAGGCGGCCGCCAGAGAAAAATATTATTTGAACGACTCGAATTGGCGCTTTGATAAGTATTTCGAACAACGCTCAATTCCCTCCGAAATAAAGGGCGGCGTCCAAGTCTTCGTAGACAAAGACAAGGCTATAGAGTACGCGGAGGCGAAGGCGGGAGAGGCAAGATTTACGTCTGAGAAAGAGCCCAAAAACCTGGGCGCGGATCAAGTCGTATATGAGGTACCATCTGAAGACGAGACTGTGGGGCCCTTACAAGGCCTGCCCAAGCATTTCATGCTTTACGCAATCACCACTGCTCGTATTAACAGAACTCAAAGAGTTGAGAATTGGTTTGCGCTCTTCTAGAGCACTTGGGCGTACCAAGTCTACCACACTGCTTTCGGTAGCCCTTCACATGGGGTCATACACACTACTGTTTCGGGGCTGTCTTTCCTTTACGGAGTTTTGTATGATAGTTACATCGAGATCCATAGACAGTTATCCTAATACAAATCCTGTCGCTGAGAAAACGCTTGATATAATTCGTATCAATGGTACATCTACTCCGCTACTTAGTCGAAGACACGTGCCTAGGTCACCGCACTTCGTATACTGATACTCATCTACCAAAAGCTTTAATCCGTGGTGAGCTCTTGTTAGAGCAAAAGATCTGAAAGAGGATGTTCAACTGAGTGGTGGACGATACGGTATTGTTATAGTTAAGGAACAGTGGAGATGTTCCCCGGTACGGATACAGCAAGCGTAACAGGCACTTAGATACAGATCAGATTGAACCAGATCCGCATGGCTGTACTTGCCAGGGAACGCTGCACAATTAGCGCGTACTTATCGTGACTACAAGGAGAACGAACAATGCTGCTTTTGATACTTAGGTGGTCATGATAAGCCTAGTAGATCTCCGTGAATAGAGAGGAGCGAAAGGAAGTCCATGTCGACCTCGGGAAGTACCTACACAAAACCGGTGTCGCATTACCGCCTATGCAGTGTCATATCTACATGAATGGATAAGATACAAGAGCTCGATTCTTTCTACGTAGAACACAGTCTTTCAAGAGTAGCCGTCTGTGTATGCGACAAATGACATCCTGCTTGCAAATGACGTGGTGTGGCTTGATTCGGTTAGCGCGAATGCTCGTAGCTTCCGATTTGACCCTGAGCGAAGGACCACAGCAACACCAAAACCACGAAGCTTTCAGCACCCGTCTCCAAACTACCTGCTTTTACTCGGTCGCGAGAGCTGTCTCAAAAGGATGCTGCCACCCTGACACATGATGAACCGCCGCAGATTTGGTGCAGGAAGGTCGTAAATGGTGTATTATTATGGGTTGCTCTGGGTACTGTTGACACTCAACCAGGATAATCCTGATTAAAATGGATGGAGCCAGATGACGATACGTATATGCTGTTGCTCCCGTGTTTGCGTTGTTTCCCAGACTCATGCGTACTTACCACGGACAAGCGGCCGCCATGGAGGACACGATAACGCTCTCGCCGTAACACCAAATGGACTGTACCTGTGCTTGGGATTACAGTAACATATTCATCGAGGAAATTGCAACCGATGACTGTTCGAGAACATGACTGGACGAAGCGTTGTACAACACAGCTTCGCAGTTCTAGCGGACCGGGCTCACATCATGGTTGCGGACGTCGGTGTATGCTGTAAGTTGCGACATTCGCATGACTACTGACACTGTAGAAGCTGCCAAATGACATTATCAGAGGACTTACTGCAGCAAACTTTTGGTTTGGAGAAGTAGAAATGGCGTAAAACTTTTAGCAGATAGAGTTCACTGTGTTTCGTTCACATAACTGAGGCCTACTTCATCATAATCTACTGCCATATTATCTCAGAGACTGTCTTCAGAACTAGAACTACTCGTGTATCAACCTCATTTGTCTTCAAGATGTCCAGTGAGCAAGAAACGCAGGACAAGGCCACGTATTGGATCGTTATCGACAATGTCGGAAGACCAACATACAAGATGTCCATTAGTGGAGTCTTCAGCATTAGTGCAGACTGCCGAGAGCGCGAGAGGAGTCGCTTTACCCAACATATGCTCAACCTATATCCTGAAGCCGTCAATCAAGGCCCTTAGGCAGAATTTGAATGCCGGCGGCGTCTCCGCCGCGCTTGCGACGATTTGTTCAACAACCCTAAAACCGTCCAGGAGCTTGCACTATGGTCTAAAGATACCAAGGCTTTCGAAGAAAAGCAATTACAGATTAGTTTAAAGCCAGACCAAGACTTCCAGGGGAAGGTCACTGACGAGTTAGACGAAATCCTTTTGAATCAAGCGAAGCAACCTCCCGAAGACTCCAAAAGAGAGCCGGCAAAATTGGGTTTGCACACCGTGACCGTCAACAGAATTCCTGAACATATTTTGGAACAGCACTACCCTACACATAAGGGTTTGCCCGCGGTCGTTGCAAGAGAACTTCGTATGGAAAGGTACCGCAGTCTGCAATTTACGGGAATGGAAGTTGAGAGTGTGGAAGTCTTTCTGAACCGGGAGGATGCTATTGAGTACGCGGAACAGCTAGATTGTAAGCATGAGGTTGAGGAGTTCGATATTGATCCTGAGCAGGTCGATCATCCAGGTCTTCCCACGGCAGGTCAGCCGGAACATCGGGCCATCTGCGAGGCTCTTCCGAAGGACAAAGATGAGCCTTATAGGGTGATAATGCTTAGCCATACTCTGGTGTATGCTGTACCGCCATCAAAAGATTAGCCAGTTTGGTATATGAGGCTCGACGATGCTGGTCGGTCAGGAGTTATAGTTGTTAGTCTTAAGAGAGGGGAATGAAGCGAATGAATAGTACATCTTTCCCGTACTTACGCTGTTGAGTGGCAGAACGTATCTAAATTTGCACAGTAGTGGTGTGGGCTTCACGGAGAAGAACTTGTATTATGACTGGAGGAGAAGTGGGGTTAGAATCTTTGCGTCTGATCTAATATCGCAAGTATTAGATGTTTGGCGGATGTAGGCCGGTTTTGACTTGTTACGTTGTACTCAGTCTTCGAGGACATGAGTTTGGAGTCAAAGTGTTACGTGGTTGAATCTAGTCTTGGAGTCAACCTATGACTAGAAGGCCGTGTCCAGTCACTATGGGTGACTCAGGGCTCTTCATGTATAAAAGCAGAATCCCATACAAACCATTTGCTGGTGCACACCATCATCTTTCCCACATCACGAACATTACCATACTCACATCACCACTCTATCAACCTACATATCACTTATCATGTCTGGTTGTACGGAGCATACCATATTCTGGCTTACGATATCTACCGGAGACAATCGTGGTATAATGTTCGGTGGCATCTACGGCAATTCAGAGAGCGAGCGAACATTGATGAAAAAAAAGATATGGAAGACGTGCGAAACATCAACCGGCCATGACATAACGTCGGAGGGGCGGCTCGATGAAGAGTTGGCCGTATGGCATGAGAAGGCGGACCAGTGGTTCGGTTTCACGTACGCAGACGAAAAGGACTACCTTTTCCTTATTTCAAAGGAGAAGGATGACAACGAGGAGGTCGCGAAGGTCCTCCAATCAGCGAAACCGGAGGACTTCTGGGCCTACAGAAAGTTCGCCATGGAGCCAGAAGACTTGATTCGCGTGGTGGAAGAGGGCGTCGCAACGCCGGAAATAGCCAAGATGAAGGATCGGATCGTGGTCGCAGATCCTCCAACCCTCGCAAATAAAGAACTCAGCCAGGTGATATGGCATGGTGGTCACTCGAGCCTCCCGCCTTCCGGCGACTTCAAGAGCTTTGCGAAGAAGGATAAGGCCATCAAGCACGCGACACTCGAGCTTGATAAGCCGCGGGATAGTCTTTGGACTCCAACCTCATTGACGACAGACGAAGAGCGCGCCCCTTGGGTTGGTGTTGTCCGGGTCAAATGCCCTGTGAAGGGCGAGAAAGAGAGCCGATGTGAGGTACTGGCACGGCTCTTTACTGTTTTCCCGTGTCGTTTCCCTCCAGAGCTTGAAAGTGTATGAGTCATATTTAACTGGTATACTCTATCTGCGTAGGCGGATCGACTTGGAGCATCCTGGGTTCGTGTAATATCATTTTGAACGGACAACCTTAGTATGTGAACCATGACTAAAAGGTCGAGTGAGATAATCCCAGTTGGTGACGATCCACGGTATCTCAGTGTGTGATGGCTCCAGCACCTAGAAAAGCCTGGTATTACAGTCAGTCAGGATTCAGTCTCACTGGTTTGACCGTGGATGTTTTCGGGAGTGTAGAATTGAATCTAGAGGAGCTTGGGAGCTATTGAAAGCGACCGAGATCGAAGATCTTGGGCATGCCTATTCCAAGATCCTTCTAGCAAGGGAATATGAGCATGAAAGCCTGGAATGTGGTGATGATTTCAGAAGCTTTCTCAATGAGTCTGATGCCATCCAGCATGCGAAGAACGAGTTTCGCAAAGGGCAAGGAGATGGAAGAGAGTTTAAAGAGCTGCGCCCGGCGGCATGGTATGTTTGGGCGGGTATCGTTATTTTGGGTTGTGAGATCACGCCTGGAGAGCCATCTGAGTCTTGTAAAGTAGTAGGGCAGGTCGGCGTGATCCTGAAATGCGGTTCGTCATCTGGGGCTGGAGTACAGGATCCGAACCTTTAGTGTGTTGAGACATCGTGGTGGGTAGCGGTCGACTGGATTGACATCGTATTTGATGGTCAGCATATATGCTAAGTACCTAGGTTCGGTTGGCTTGCACTAAGTACCTAGGTAATTCAGCAACGTATGGCGCTTGCGAAGCTTGCTACGACTACCCCGAGCTCTTTCTTAGTCATAGATGGGAAACTGATACAGCGGTCGGGAAAGATCTGTGCGCTGCGAAAGGTATCATGGAGGTCCGTGTGTGTGTTGGTTCGTGACTGTCGAGGTTGAGTCATTGCTTCAACCACTTCATGTATAAATACCCTACGGAATTCGTTTCCCAAATTCTAAACTTGTATCTATCACACATGTAAGCCCAAAATCAGCAAACTTCACACCAGCACAGAGCTGGCACAATCTTCTTCTCAGATGGCCTCCAACAAAGACTTCAACCCCGACAGGGACCTCGTTTACTTACAAGTGACCTACCCCAAGAAGAGAGATCTAATCGGGCCCTACTTGATCACCGACCACGGTCTTGACGCAGCACGGAAGCGTCTTCTCAACCTTTGCAAACTAAACATCGGAGGGATGAACGATAGCCTACTCGCAACGATCAGAAATAAGCTCAACCAATCGGACTTCAACTTCCAAGCTCTCAACAAGAGCCGGTCCATCACGGACGACCAAAATCGCGAGCTCTTTGAGGTCAGCAACTTGCTATCGTCCAGCGCTGATGTCGTGGTTTATATCCGTAAAGAGGAAAAAGAAGGACGGAAGGCAGCCTTACATACTGTTTATGGGTGCAGCAAGGACACCGGAGATTACAAAAAGTGGCACGGAGGCTTTGAACCATACAAAAAGGCTGAAGACATGCTTGTTTGGCCTTGCGGTGAAGAATGGAATGGTGTTGAAACTCATTCGAGCGACGTTGCCGCCCGAACCTGGCTCCTATTGACAGCATGCGACAAGATGAAGAATGTAATTCGAGCCGTGCCAAATACAAGGGATTGGCCCACAATGTATGAGGGTAAACGGCAGATCATGATGATTTGGAAGGTCGTCGCGAACGATGCGGAGGGATAGTTGGAAATGTTGATATCGAATACTTCAGACATTCGAATGACAAAACCTTTGAGTCAGTGAGATGGTGTCATAATCAAGTGACTGTGAGAATGACCCAAGCCATGACTACAAGGACTTTAACTCATACCCAGTGACTCACGTCTTTGGTATATAAACCGAGAAGCCTTTGCTTCTCCAGCCCTCACACCGACATCAAACATTCATACCATCACCATTATCAATATCAGCACCACACCATGGAAGCACCGCTCAAGTCCAACGAAGCATCGCTAAATGGCACCCCCATATTGACCGACCCGCCTAAATATTGGTACTACTGGGTGCTATTTCATCATTTCGACAACGACGGTACGGGGGATACCAGCGATTACAACGCATCTTTCGGCGGAATTTTTAACTACACAACTGAAGGATGGGCGCTTCTTGAGCAGACCATACGTGAATTCTGCGAAAACAAGAATCGTTCACCTGAGACACCGATTAAGTCTATCGGCAGAGAACGGCTCTTCGCTAAGTGCGTGGAAGGCGAACATTGTTCTGTACGCGGCAAGGACGGTGAACATCTCGTAGCGGTCATCAAGCAACCGGATCCCAACGGAGACGTAACGGATGTACTAGCACTACCGAACGATCGCAGTCTACACCAAGTCAGGACGATAAGGTACGACGGAGATGATTCAGAGCCACAGCAATTTCCCGCAGACGAAAGGAAACAATGGAGTACGGTAGCCCCCACAATAATGCCTGGCGACAGTTCATTCGACCTTGGGGAGGGTTGGGCCACATTCGTTTTTCGAGAGGATCTTGACGAATATTTCGATAAGGAGTGGAAGGCAATGAAATCACACCAAACAATGACGTGGATGTATAAACAGAAGGAACTTCGGCTCGTTGCCATCTCTGAGAAGGATATTTTGAAGCGGATCATCGTTTCTACAGAGTGGACTCACGACAAGGTTACTCGCAAATGGGTACAGGCGGATATAAAAGGGATAATAAGTCGCAAGACTAGTCGTCGGAAGACTGATGGATGACGGACAACACTGTTTCTTTGTATCAATGTTTTACAGTTGAGTAGGATTAAAGTCTTATAAGCGTAATGTAATGCAGGGGCTTAGACAATTACCAGCTGTTTTTTGTTGTGTGAAGAAAAGATCGGGCGATAAATACTGGAAGATAGCTTCACGAAGACGAAAGTGCTATAGGTGATGCTTCTCAAGCGGCTGGCATGCCTGCGTCATGGGTCGGTTAGTGGCTAGCGCGAGTCGACGCGTAGTGAAGCGGGACCCGATCAACACGGCTACTGCAGCCCAAACACGACTCGGCGCAGCGAACAGGCAACACCAAAGCACCCCGGGCTCCATGGAGTGCCCTGCCCGCCAACATGTCCTCCCGCAACGTGCCCACGATGAAGTCGCTGTCCAGCGCTGACCGCCGCTCCGTCAATGCCAACTACACGTCGACTGCGCGACCCCGCGTCGCTTCTGGAGAGGAACTCGACCGCCGCAGCTCGACCACCGCAGCGTCACATGCCAGGAAACAGTCAGCACCCATGCGCGCAACAGGCGCCACCTCGGGCGAGCGTCGCGTCGAGAAGAAGGAGGTGCGCGAGCGGGAGACGGAGATCAGGCGAACAAAGAGCCCGTTGAAGCATGCCAGTGAAAGCAGGGCGAATGCGCGAAGCCGCTCAGAGAAACTCCCGCGCGACGTCGACCGACCCTCACGCAGCGCCGCCTCGCAAAAGTCTATCCCCGAAGAGCCCCAGATGCCGTGGGAACCGCAGGCTTCTTTGATACCACACACGACCGCCCCGCTGGCGACGCGCATCTCGATACCTCCGCTCGCTTCCACCGCGCCTATATCGCTGCAGCCCACACCGCTCGCAAAACTATCGCTAGAAGCACAAGAGAAGGCGATACTGGAGGATCTCTTGTTTGTGTTCATGGGTTTTGAGGGGCAGTACATTCGATTCGGCGATGGCTACAATCCCCACGAAGAGAAGGAACGTCTGGTAGGGCCACAGTTCCGCCTGATGCCCGGCCTGGACCCTAGTCTGAGGGACCTGACCAAGTCGATGCTGAAGACTGCCACACATTACATTGCTGTCGAGACCTGCGTAGAGGTGCTCAGCCGGGAAGAGTACGGTGCAGTGAACCATGCCTTGTGCGCGGCTGTACGACGGTTGCTGAAGGACTACCTCATACTCGTTGCGCAACTTGAGCACCAGCTGCTGACGAACGAATCCTTTACTCTGCACGTGTTGAGTCTACATACTAAACAGACTAGCCACATGCTCTTCCAGCTTTACACAACTGGAATCGAACTGCTGAAGGCGAACGGCATTCTGGAAGACGAGAAAGACGAAGACTCGGCGGATGACGACAGCAATGACTTTGAGAATATCTTGGAGTCGTTGCGTGAAGGAGGAAACGCCGCCAAGAAGCTCTGCAAAGGTGGAAGCGTGCTCGGACTCATCACTAAGCGGCTATCGTCCATGTCGGGAGATCCAGCGGCTCGCGCACTACTGACTACGCTGTTGCGAGAAGCCAGCAGACCGTATATGGCTATGTTGAACGAGTGGCTACATCACGGCGGCATCAAGGACCCGCACTCCGAGTTCCTGATCAAAGAGCAAAGAAGCATCAAGCGAGAACGTTTAGACCAGGATTATACGGACGAGTACTGGGAGAAGAGATATACGATACGCGATGCTCTGGTACCCCCTCAGCTTGAAGCCGTCAAAGACAAGGTCCTTCTGGCAGGAAAGTACCTCAACGTTGTAAGGGAGTGCGGAGGCGTCGACGTTAGTAAAGTCGTGCAAGACGCGCCTACCAGCTTCGACGATCCACGCTTCTTAGACAACGTCAACTCCTCATACGCCTACGCCAACTCCTCGCTCCTCAACCTCCTTCTCACTACACACCAACTGCCGGCACGATTACGTTCACTAAAGCACTACTTCTTCCTCGATCGCTCCGACTTCTTCACCTACTTCCTCGAGATGAGCGAGCTCGAGCTCAAGAAACCAGCAAAGCATGTTAACGTCGGCAAGCTGCAGTCGCTATTGGATCTCGCCACTCGACATGCTGGATCAGTCGCTGTGGAGGACCCATACAAGGAGGACATCAAGGTCCAGATTAACGATACTGGGCTTACGAATTGGCTGATGAAGATTGTTAACGTCCAGGGTCTTGACCAGGATGCTGCCACCGCTACGTTGTCGAATTACACACCTGCAAACTCGGCACCTATCACTGACGACACGAACATCACTGGATACCAAGCGCTAGTCTTTGACTACGCCATGCCCTTCCCGCTGTCGTTGGTCGTCAGCAGAGTTACTCTCACTCGTTACCAGCTACTTTTCCGATATCTACTGAGCTTGAAGCACCTCGAAACGGATCTAGCCAAGTGCTGGGGTGAACAGGGCAAGAACGCAGCCTGGAAGCACCGATCCAAGAATCCGCGAATTGAGCAGTGGAAACGCCGAGCGTGGACATTGCGAGCGCGTATGCTGGTCTTCGTCCAACAACTTACGTACTACTGCACATCCGAGGTCATTGAGCCCAACTGGGCATCGTTGATGTCGCGGATAAGCGATGAGAAGAAGCAGGATGCAAGGGCCAAGGGCAAGGCAACGGAGGATGAGAGCGGTGGGCCCCAGGTGAAGCGTACTGTAGACGAGCTGATGCAGGACCATGTTGACTTCCTCGCAACTTGCTTGAAGGAATGCATGCTTACTAACAGTAAGCTGCTTCGAGTAAGTCAAACAACACTTTTACAGCCTGTACGGCTGCTAATTACCCTTAGATCAACAACAAGATCATGTCAACATGCAGCATGTTCGCATCCTTCACATACTCTCTATCTCGCTACCTCGTCACCGGTGACCCCGACCTTGTCGCCCAAGTTAACGCCTCTTTCGCACCTCCCCCCGCGAAGAACTCCAAGAATCCTGCTGCCACACTAGTCGCTTCTACCCACCGACCCACAACGCAGTTTGTATACGACCCCCAGCGCGTCGACAAAATGTTCGACATGCTAGCCAAGTACGAGGAGAACTTCACCCGGCATCTTAAGATCCTGCTGGACACACTGAACTACCTCGCTGCCACCGAGACGGTAGTCTTCTTGAGTCTTTGCGCAAGATTGACGAGTGCTGGAGAGGGTTTGAGTGGCTTCCAGGTACCCATGGGTATGGAGGGTATTGCTTAGTAGGCTTCGGCCTTGTAGGCATCAGGCGTTGTTTCATGCATTGCATTATTTTGGGTCATTGGCATGGGTTATGGATTCAGTCTGCAAGGCGCCAGCGAGCGATACCATAGTTGTTTGGAATGAGACGCAACGAATTACGGCCATAAGGTTCTTCAGTCTTGAAAATTGCGACATCACATGGCATGTTTGGTGTATGAACGAGGCATTTGCTCATGTTCGAAGTAATTGGTACTGCCTACTCTACACGTACGCTTCTAGTACGTCTTGAATGGACACCCCTTGTCCGCGCTCGAGCTCTTCGTCTTCTCCTTGACCAACTTCGTAGTGAAATCCATCAATTGCTCGCCCAGCTTCTCATTGTTCGCCAAATCACTACCCGGCTCGCGTATCGCAGGCGGGCAGATGTACTCGCCAGTACCCTCTGTCTTAGTCGCCGCATACATGGTGCTTACGCAACCTTCAAACTGTGTCTTCTTGAACGGCGCCATACCAACGCTCATAGCGTAGCCACCCAACGGGTAGGGTTCGTGGATCATATCGACAGATTGCCGTGTCTCAACGAAACCGGGGTGTGTAGCGTTGGACAAGATGTTGGGGTGCGAGGTAGAGAGGTGACGAGCCAGATAACGTGCGTAAAGGATGGAAGCGAGCTTTGTGCGGCCGTACTGTCCCATAGCACCTAGGTCTTGGTTGAGCTCTTCGAGAGATTCAAACTTGACGTCCTTGGGCGCGCTCTCGTGTGCGTTGGATCCGAGCTGTACAAGACGGACCTTGTTGCCCTTGTCGGCTGTAGACTTGATCAAAGGCAGCAGGTGAGAGGTCAGGACTACATGGCCCATGTGGTTGATAGCCATGTGTAGATCGACACCGTTCTTCGCGAGCTGGTATGTCATGATACCTCTCGCGGCGTTGTTGATCAGGATATCGATCCGGTCTGTCTTCTTGGCAATCTCAAAAGCGACCTTGCCGGTTGCTTCCCAGTCTGAAAGGTCGCACTTCATCCATTCGACTCTGCTGGCCTTGTCCTCGCCCATCTCTTCCTTGATGGCTTTGAGTGCATCGTCGATGATGTCTTCGCTCATGGAGATGATGAAGAGCTTCTTGATGTTGTGTGATAGGAGGGTATGTGTGCATCCGTAGCCAATTCCTTCTGAGCCACCAGTCACTACGGCGACCTTGCCGCTGAGATCTGGTACTTCCTCGAGAGAGAAGCGCTGATCCGCAGGTGCGAGATCATGGGCGCCAGATACGACCTTGCCGAGATTCTCGGCAATGGCATTCTTTACTGACTGCATGGTGGAGGAGGTTTCAACTGGGCCTTTGAAACGGTCGTTATTGTTCGGAGGAGTTGATGAATAAGCTCTGAAAGTAGTAGAAGATATCCAGGCAACGGATACGCGTGATAAGGATGATGTATTTACAAAAGATGACTTGCAGCAACGCAGGGAGACGGCACCTCTAAATAACTTAGTAGACTGCATGGTTACAGCATGTGTCACAGGACAGCAGCAACCATCGTATTAGCACAAGATCTGAGGTCATGGTATACCGTGACGAGCCGCCTTCCGCGGAGCGAAAGCAGCCAATGCCATTTTGTCTTGATGTCAGCACTTTTTCCTTTTGGCGCGTTCCTGGATACTGTGGAGCGCGCATCGGGAGCGGATCGTTGATGATCTCGTCATGACGCGTTGATGGACGCCTGCATGGCCTGCGTGTTGGCGAGGCTGGAGGTCTGGAACTATGACGTGTTGGGTATAGTGGGGCGGGCGTTATCGATAACGGCGCGACTTCCGAGGTCAGCTTCACGCGACATGGAAGGTCTCCTAATCGAGTAGACGAGAGCATCGTCGCTACCCTGATCCACGACACTATGGTAGGAACGCTCAACGGATACAGGGATCTCAGGTATGTATATCTTCAATTGGAGTAAGTGCGTCGGCGGAAAGACAGCAAACGCAATGGCTCCTTCTCAACACCGCAAGCTGTGTAGTGAATGCGAGCGATTGGAAAGCGACACAAACCCAAACATTACCGCACAATACCAAAACCTCAATACCACCGTTTCATTGCTGTCAGCTGCAAACCTTCACCGACCGAACAATGTTCAAAGCAAGACCAGAAACGAGCACTAACATGCGGCAGAGTGCGATTTCACATTATCTTCACCCAGACCGGGCCGCCATGATCTCATCAGCAGACCATACCGCCTCAGCCGCGCGTGAACAGAACGCCGCCAACCCACCGGTATTCGAAAAGCCACCCACGAGCAGCACGCCTCTCCCGCCCGATGTGGCAGCCGCTCGTAAAGCTCGCATGAATGCCGACTTGATCGGTGCCTTCAAGAGCACCTGTCCACCCGGCACAACCCCCTACATAACAGGTGTCGGATTGTATACCCACGTTGAGGGCGCACCACCCCAGTCGCCAATGTACCCCGACGAGAACCCGCAGCCACAACCCGAATTCTTCCCTATACGCATACCAGAGAGTCGAGGTAACGAGAGCTCGCAACCGGACGAAGAGGTTCAGAAGCTATGGAATGAACTCGAGCTTGCCGTCGAAACAGAGGAAGAGTTGATTGCTACAACCGAACTTGGGCTTAAGGAGCTTAGGAAGCGGTATCGTGCTCTTCCTCCTCCTAAGAACTCGCGGTCGCCGGTACAGCGCGGTCAGCAGCAGCCGGAAGCGATACAAGGGGATACAGCGGCTCAAGGTGCTACTACAACCATTGTGGGGAGCATGGGCGCTCCCAACGCGCCCACCAAGCCGCGCGGCCAGTCGCTAGCTAGCGTAATGTCTACTCTTGCGGTAGGAAGTGAGAATACGAGCATGGGAGGTACCGAGCCCGAACGAGGCAGACCGACGGCCATCGAACGAGGCAGACCGACGGCCACCGAACGAGGCAGACCGACGGCCACTACATCAACTACAGGCTTCTACGCCCCGGATCCACGCAGACAGGGACGATGAGAGTCAAGAAGGATGGAGACTGCTCCACAACACAGCACACGGGATCATGCTTGAAACTGACTATCGGACTGACTTTCTTCTTGGTCTCCCCAACATTCGGATGTTCCGTTAGTATGAGTCTATCATGATGTTGATGCGCTGGAATTCGGGGCTGTGTGTATGTTAAACCCATCACATTGATACCCTCATGTTTCGAAGCTAGACAATTCCTTCATATACATGATTGAGATGCGAAAGTATTATACGTACTTCGCTACATACATCGCGCCAAAGACGATTCTTCCACACAGAGCGACCTCATTCCACGGCTCATGTTATCACTTCATAACCAACACTTACCCCATCAGGATCCACATGCGCCACACGCATACCTGTTCCATAGCTAAGAATAAACCAGTTCTCATTCCCAGCCCTCAGCCCGCGCCGTATCCACGAGGCGTTGCGCCTCTCGTATCTGACTATGATGATGAAGAGCAGTACTATCAAAGCGACGGCTAGCGCCATCATCACAGTGAAGAAATGGTCGATGGCATTTGGTTCAAGATCGCGCGGAGTGGGGGCCATGCTGCACGCACTTGAACCAGGATCGAGCGATGTGAAAAGGGAAGAGTGAAACGATGAACATGTCGATCACGATATCGACCTGTTCTTGAGACATTGTGGTGCCGTTGTTGTAACAAACCGCGGTGCAAATGTGGGTGCATAGTGTGGATGTAGAAGATTCATGGAGGCTACGAGGGCATTGTAAAGGAAAACAGCGGAACCAGAGGATGAGGGTTTCTTTACTTCCCAGAAGGGCCAGTCTCTCTAGTGAAAGCAAGCTCACGCGTCTAGTGAAAGATTCATCTTCTCGTTAGTTCCACAGGCATTCCTTAAATGTCCACCAGCGGCCAGACACATGCACTCCTCAACCCAGTTTTACAATGTCCCTTCTCTGGATGCGCGCATCATCTCATGGCCTATTGAAAGCAATGCTCGAGCTGGCGAAACAGCTACTGCCAAACATCGGAGCACTTATCCTCGCGTTCTTAGTGTGGCTCGAGCTCAGGACCGGAGTCGTCCTTGCCTTCTTCGCGTTTTACGATGAACATCCTCACTTCATCCACATCGTTTCCCTGGCAATCAGTATCGGCGTCGTGTATAAGCTCATCCGCTTCATCCTCCGGCTGCAAAGTACGCCAAAACCCGCTGATCCATTCAGATCGGCGCCATACAGACACAGACGCGAAGAGACCCCCATGTTCCCACCAGGTATGGAGTTCAACCGGGTTCAGGAAAGGTGGAAGAAAGAGGGTATGGAGAAGCCATTCGTGGAAGAGCGGGCATTTGGCTCAAGTAGGCCGGAGGAGGTGCCTCCAGCGCGGAGACCGCTATTCAGTGTTCCTACAAGCACTTTGCCACCGGTGCAGTCGAGAAGACCGCCAGTGAATGCGGCGTTTGGGAAAGCTGGTTGGGGGTAGGGCGTTGGCAGCGATGTGAGGTTTTCTTTTGGGGTCGATTCTAGGGTCTGTGTACCGTTGCGCAGAGACGTGGGACATCCAGATTGCGCTGTACTACTACATACAGCTTCTGGGATCTTGGGACGTTGATACTGGAGAATGCTTGAAGAGTGCAGTTGTTGCCGCAGCAACTACGTGGCAAATCACGGCTTGATGGGAATGAATGAAGCGGTCATGTTGCCAGCTTTCGTGTTGTTTGGCTGGCTTTCATCACATGAGACATCGACAAGAGTTGAGAAACGACTGATTCACTCAATCGAGAGGACCGTGCAGTAATCACGCGCCGATATATCACAACAAACGCTCGCGGTCGCCTATAAGTTCTGCACCACTCAGACCTTTGAGTCCGACTTCCCGCCACTTGGTCTAATCAACAAGAATCGATCAGTGCCTCACAACATCATGCAAGACTTTCTTATCAACCACGAGCCGCCTACTCGTCTCGAGCGCTTCGTCCAAGACACTATCGACTCGTCCAAAGGTTTCTCCGCCTATCTCTTCCGTGGAAGCTGTCTGGAATACTGGGTGCTTGACCCCAATGGTCAGGCTTACACGCTCTTCCTGGCGACACTACTAGGCGCTTCGATCTGGCTCTTCATCCTAAACCAGAACTCAGAGGCTACCGCAGCTTCAAAGTCCGAGCAGGACTGGCCCGAGAGCGAATTGGCGGACGCAATGGACATTGATGGCGAGGGATATCAAGTCGACGAACAACAACCATCGACTCCGCGTGCTTCAACGTATTCAGGCGAAGAGACACCCATCATGCGCAAACTAGCACCTCATGATCACCGCCCTGTCAACGCGCACATCGAAGGCTCGCCTTTCCGAGTTAAACAACCTCTGGGACCTCGCATTCGCCAATTCGTACCGTCTACCCATCAGGCTCCTTCTCCACTCAACCCCCGGCTTTCCAAAGCTTTCTCGACTCGGCCTTCTCAGCGCGATAACTTCTCGAATCTCAACAAAGACACTCCGGTAGCCAACAAGACTCTCCAGGAAACCAGCCGGGTTGATGCGGGCGACATCTTTGAGGGGGGGAAGACGCAGAGCCCTGTGGTTGCTCACTGGTCAAATGAGGGCGGCCAGCGTTATGATCGGGCGACCTTGAGGCGCGAGGTGGCTACCAAATATCTTTCCTAAGGTTGTCGCGTTGGGGGTTTCATCCGATGTGCATCGTCGCGGCTTCCCTATCCACAATTTGGTTTCGGCGCTCTGGGTCTAGGGAAGGTGGCATGCGCGGGTGAGAGAAAGTGCGATAGCGATACCGATGGAGGAAGCGAGGGCCGACGGATGGGGAAGTGCCTGCCTGCGTCATCGGTGACACAATCAACACGTGAGGGTAGATAAACAAGCGAATGTGCATCCACTCGACTCCGCAACACCTCTCCTTCTCTCTCTTTCCCTTCACCTTGATCGAGTTACAGTCTCGCAACAACAACCTGCGATGGCTGCATGCACGAGCTGCGATGCGCCAACTAACCTCGATTGCCATGGCGATCTCATACTCATCCCTTATGCTGGCCTATCAAGCAAACTAGGCCTATGCAGAAGGTGCCGTTGGAAGGGACGGAATGACCAGTGGGAGTCTGCTCCGGATTGGGAAGCTCTCTTGTGTCTGTGAGTAATGCTGCAGAAGCTGCATGTGAGATGTAAACTGACACCAATAACTTACTTCAGGAACCTGGACTTCCTCCATGGGAACATCGACGTCAATCCAGGCCATCTCGGTCCTCTCGACAAAGAGACTGCGCCAATATTACGTGGGCTAATCGAACTACATGAATACGGCATTCTCACATGCGGCTCTCAACCATTCGAGAAGTCCAGCACGTTCCTTGTCGGGAAGGGCTGGTATCAGAAGCGGCAACGCCCCTATGTGCACTTTCTGCTACCGACATTGCATCGAGATATCTCCATTGACTGTGTTGATGCTTTCATCGAGAGGCTCTTCGCTGACAACAGTATTCTTGTGACGGTGCACTCAGAATGCGATGAGTACGGCGGACCAGGCGACTCGATGCGGAGCAAAGTAGTCACCCCACAAACCTCTGGCCGTAGTCGCTCGACCTATCAGTTTCGTACAAACGCCCACTGGAACAAAGAGGCCGTTACGATAGACCGACTAGCGAAAACTTCAAGAGGGCTATTGACGAAAGCCTGGGAAGAGTGCACCTTCTTCCCAGACACCTCGATCGACTTCTTGAGCCCTTACACGAGTCTGTCCGGCAGCGCAAACGACAACCGAACTTTTGAGGCTACCATAGTCATGAAGCCATTGGCGATCGGGGTGATGGCGCGGAAGTGGGGTGCGAAGCTCGACTTGCAAGACATCCTGCAGCAGCATTGTGAAGAAGCGGGCATACAGCGCGTCTTCCCATGGAGGGCCATAGATGCTGCGGATGCTCTGAATGGTGGAAACCGATGGTCTCACACGTTTTGTGACGATCAAGACGCTTGAGGATACAGAGTTCTGTGGATGAAAAGGTTCCGAAGTCGGAAGATGAACAGGTCTTGGTAACGATTTCATCAACACAGCACCTTTTGTCGCTACCACCTCTCACTAAGGCGATTGAGAACGTAATAAAATAATTCATGAGTCCCTACAACTTGAATGGTTACATCCATATGCTACGTTCTTGTTTCACGTATAAGAAGAGAAGACGTCAGGACTGGAATTGGTACCTGCCTAAAGCGGTAAAGCGCATGTAAACCTCAAGGGCGCAGTTCCGACCCATACTTTACGGTTCTAAAGTATCTCGAACATTCCTTTGGCTGTTAGGCCCTCCATAATTTCAAGTGACTCAATCGAACATCTGTTGCAGCAGGCGAGCATAAAGAAGGTCGCATGTGCGGTAGATTTTCTAGGTATACGGCGTGCGCAATCCTCTTCCGCGGCACTACAACACAAACAACAAAACGGGCATCCCCAACCCGCCACACCTACGATAAAACCACTACGAATTCCATCTCTGATACCTCTCGACCGATCATCACAATGGCAGACCCTCTATCCCAAAGAACAGACCCCCTCTACCAAAAAGATGGCCAAAAACATACCCACACCTCCGCCATAACTTCAATCCACGCCCTGTCATCCCTACCCGCAGATACTCAATCCCTCTTCAAACCACCACCAGAAACCAAACCCTATGTCCTAACAACACCCTCAACCATCTTCCACGCCCAAGGCGGCGGTCAACCCTCGGATGTTGGAACCATCTCAACGGGCAGCACCACATTCCACGTGCACCAAGTCCGCAAAGTCGATCCCGCGATCCTGCACATGGGCGTCTTCTCTCCCTCGGACAAGAAATTCCAAGAAAGTGGGGAAGCAGAAGTAGAGCAGAAAATCGACACTTCGAAACGGCACCTACACTCTCGGATCCACACCGCCGGCCACGTCATCGGTCTCGCAGTCGCCCATCTAAAAACCACTGGCACAATCGCTCCCGACGTCGTCGACGGAAAAGCGTCGCACTACCCCGGCGCCGCATTCGT